GAGGCTACGACATAGTTGTATAACTATGATCAATAGAGCACAGATAGGTATGTATTGCAAAGTGCCTAGTATTCACCGCTAAATCCCTTCGGATATACACTGCTCGCAGCTGTGAGCCGTCAGCGAGGTTTCTTGATGGGGGTTCCAGAATACGTAGGAGAGCCCGCATTTGACCCGCAGTCAGGAGAGATTGGTAAACTATCGCCAGTCTACTTTTGACTGAAACCACCGTTTGCATGAGTGCTATCCTGCGATTATCTCCTTTATCACACAAAGGGGCCTAAAATTCTAATCTAGCAAGTTCATATTTCCCAATTGCCAGTAACATTGCCCGCTCCAAGGCAAACCGAACATACTCATTACCATATTGTAATCACGGTAGATTGAAACATACCACTCCGATGTGATCGACTATTCCCGATGTCAGCCGACTTGACGTGGGCTGGTAGTGCGGTAGTTGCTCGATAATCAGCTGACCCAGAGTTCAAACCACGGATCTAACACCTGAGATTAGGATTTCGCTGCCCAATGTCAAAAAGCAAACCAGTAACGACCATTCCATCGTCCCTGTCGTTGCGGGTAGGAACTTCTCCGAAAGAAAGCGTCCTATTGCTAGCAAGCACTTATCAATTTTGTTGAAAAGAAGAGAACATAAAATGCGCTCGGGCAATGTTACATGATGCGCTCTTCCTGAAGATTGGGGCTAATGTTATAGTATGCTTAATCAAGCGCACAGTTCAACATCATTAAAAGTCCAAGGAAATACAGCAGAGCAGTTAAGAAGTCCCGCCATCTGTATTGCCCACAAACAGACGCTCCAGTAGCGGACAGCACCTTAAGGAGTTAGCACATTCTCCCCGTAGGAGAGAAAAGGTAAGGTTGTTTACACTATATCGCGTCCGGAAATACATGTATAATCTAATGACCTAGCTACCGACTACCTGACTAGTCCACGGGTGGTAGACAGGGGAACGGCCGTCAGTGGAGGCCTGCTGTGGAGAGGCAAGTCTCCTGATTGCAAACTAGCGGCCACTGTGCCGACGGATTGCGGAATGTTGAGGTAGGATATACCGAACACTCTGGCATAAAGTCGATAGCCGCCAGTAAGGAAACGGTCTCACAACAGCGGCGCATCATAAGGCTCCAACTGCACAAGGTATTGCAGGAATGAAAATCACGATAAAATCGCCAAAGAAGTCTGTTTATTTTAAGAACTTCCATTTTCCTCATGACGCTGGTATTCAGAGTCTAATAACACACAGCTCCCAAAAATGGAAACAGCATGATCGCCCTGTGTCTGAAGGTCAGAGTTTAGACCCAGAATTTCAGACGACTAAAACGCTTGAAGTCACTTTTCAGGCAGAATGGTTACCAGTCGGCTGAGTTGACCCCTGCTACTTTTTCCTATGCCTCATATAAAGTTTTCGATGGGCTTCATAGAAGACAGACAATTGTGTAGTAGTTGTCGGTAATGTACCTGGAAAGAGCCGTTTTTTTCTATATAGTTGACCGCTAACCCTATTAATGACTTAAAGCTGCAGACGGCGAGTGCTGATGCCGACAATTACTGGGGAATCGCAGGTTGCCCCTGGTGAACATTCCCGTTCACTGCGTTAACTCTATCCCCTGGATTTTCCCCTTATCCAATGAATGGTGTCTAGTCCATGCACATCCAGCCCCGTCTTGTGCATGTGATAGTTAGCACATTGAAGTTCTGTGTAAGTTTTCTGCTGATGGACACGAATTATGACGATGAGTGTCACTGAGCGCCGTAAACCGTCCAGAGGGCGAGGTATTTATTACCGTATTTTAACCCACTTCCGATCTTCTTTTCTATCCTATCAGTCCACTCGTAGGCGGGGTGTGCCGATCACCAAATCAAACAAACACAGTCAGATTCGAAAACAGTCAATAGGCGACTAGCTTAGGCTCAAACGAAAGCACATTTTGTCAACGTCACCTCCCCCACAGCTCTAAGGGCCTCTTATCACGAGCAGTAAACGTTGGTTGGCAAACCATCTCCCAACGAACTGATTCTCTACAGGAAGGTATGGCGGTCAAAATGGCCAGTCAACCCTAACACAACGTTGGCGGCCACACTTCTTTCGTCCAAAGCGACAGTGTTAAAGCCCTTGTAGTGTTTTCGATTATCCCAGAGGCACTTTTAATGCCTTCTCTAAAAAATTCGTACACAGCCTTTGCAACCGAATAAGATGCTGTCATACCGGGCTGATCGTAATTTTGCATTTGGTGCGTTACAGCAAACCAGTGCATGGTACGACAACGATAGCTAACTGAAACACAAAATCATCGCCTGCACACACTTTAAAGGTCATTTTGCAGTCACATTCATAATGTCGCGTGCCGGAGGCCTTGAAGAACGAAGGAGCTTGAATGTATCAACCAGCATATCTGCATCTGACCCCTGAAGTACCTGGAATCTCTGTCTAGACTTTTTCACAATTAGCGTCCCGCCATTGTCACAAAAGCTGGCCATCCTGACGACTGGGAATACCAATTCATGCGAAAAGATGGCTCCATGGATCTTGTTTCAAAGATAATCCCACTCAGTCCTTCTTCGTTCCGAAATCCAGGCTATCCCATCCCGGGTTTGGGTACGGCGAGTTGATTGCAGCTAATAAACTGGGATGGTCAGTACAGGCTTTCTCGTCTTTTGCGGTAACCAGTCAATTTGTCGCTTAAAGATCGCCTTCAACATTTCTAGATAGATCTTAAAGTCAAAGAACAACAACCCTGTTCCATCTTGCGCCCAGGCGAGTAGACTGAAAAGGTTGCTTGTTCCGAATCAGCGAACTACATGCAGGAGGCCTTAAACTCTTGTGAGCGCCCTCAACCCCAGCAAATCACGCTTGAAGTCCGCAGTCGATCTGTATGCCCTAGTCGTACTTTAGGGCATCACGTCCGACCAGAGCCACGCCGTGCCCTGTCAAAAGGGTCAGAAGCCAATCCCGGTAACCACTGTTGCTCTCCCGCCCAATCAGAGCCTGCGAAAATGGATCCCAGATTTACCAGTATGAGCCAGCCCAACATAGATCTTCTTAAATCGGAGACTCAACTATTGCCGATTCCCTGACGTTCTTCAACCCACAAGTCGGCTAAACTCCTATGAACCTCCATTCACTATGATCTAACCCTCGCAAACCATGTGCCCTTCCGTAATCCTTTCGTCTTGCACTAAATACGGTTTTCCCTACTGAAATGATGCCTTTTTGCTTTTACCTGGCCATGATCCGTTTGAGAGTAGATATGGAGAATCACATACTTCGCCTGATACTGGTGCCCTGTGTAGATTGATTTCCACCATGACGTAAACGGGGATCCTCTTGGTGATACTTATTTAAAAGCCCCCAGCTCTCCCTTTCACATCAGAGACGGATTATTATCCTACCTCATGACACTGTGGCCTACAGCCTCCTCTCCCCAAATAAAGGCGACTGCGCAATATTGCACATTCATATCGACCCATCATCGAATTAGTTCGCAATGGTCAGACGCCACAGACTTTGCCAAAGCATGTGAGTTTTTCAACGCGAACCTCTGTAACCGGTAGTTTGATCGCCCACTAACTTAACTTGTTACTGTTATATAAAACCACTACTGGTTAGTTTGCGTCAAGATCCTTGCCTTCAAAAAGTGGCAAAAACCGTTTGAATGCAGGTTAGACATTCACTTAGAATGCATCGCCGGCGCATTCTACACCTTCACATAGTTGGTTAGATTCTCACCGAAGCTCAGTGACCGTCCAGGATTGTTGAGATTAATCCTGGTTAGAATTACCCCCTTGGATATCGCCATGAGAGCGGTCATTTATGAGGATAGCCAGAGTAAATTGTCTATGAGGACGCCAAATCTGCTGAGGGATGTGGACCCAAAGTTTTATCGTGTTGAATCGCTGAGAAGCGCACGACGCCACTCGCAACCGTTTGTATTCAATTTAAAATCGCGAAGACTTTCGAAAACATGCAAACTGAAAGCATGAATTATGGATGCATGATGTTAACACTGTGTTTTGCATGCTATGAACTCGAAAAAATCCTTATTGTGCAAAAATTACGGCGTACACTGACGGTCAGTTCACCCAGTCATTTAAATGCTAGGTTACTTGGGAGGAAATTGTAGAGCCAACTTCCGGAAAACAATGAGGAAATGTAGATGTTTAGAGCCGTCCAAGCTGGTGATCTAAAACGTGGGCATGTCGACATGCCGAAACGCTCGATGAGCAATGTATCAACTTCAGGGGACCTGACTGTACCAAAAGGAGTCTAGGTCATTGTCTTAACCTCCCCCAACTTCATCTTCTCCGTGCTGCTGAGGGGGGCTGTCGAGGTATTCGAGCAGGTTTCAGAGCTACCTACCGAACCGATTGGAAATTATTCAACACCCCCCAACGGCAGGCTATCACAACGATCTTCAAGGCCCAGATGCTTGACCTCCTCTCCGCTGACAGCTATACATTTCACACCACAACAGAGGAGAATTGCAGTGAAGTCGGACCTACCCACATCCAGATTTCCCCAGCTCGAAATAACCGTAAACGCGTGGGCGGCGACCGGTTGGCATCCAATGGAACCAACTGTCACTGAGCTTTATGTGATCTGGTACAGAAGTAGACAAAACTGCGTGAAATACATTAAACACCGATCGATTACACGGATGGATATATGATATATGATAGTACTCAGGTGCAGCATACTTTCTGCCTGATGATTGTCTACCTCTTGCAGGGACGCAGTTTAAGTGAGTGATGCTGTTCCTCCAGCCCCTTTTATGAGGCCATCTATGTTTATATGCGCAGGGACACATCTGGGCCGCCTGGTGAACCAGTGGGTGGGCCAAAATTGCAGTGATTTCCAAATTAGACAGTCACAGGCCTCACACAGATATGCCAGATATGTACAATAAATGCAGGGGATGGAGTCTCGTGCGCTTTCTGTGCATGTGAAATGTAGGTCCCGGCGGTTTGAGAAGATAACAGCCAGCTAGGTGGTGGCGTTGCCTCTTTTGGCTGCTGTATTTTCGCTGTCTCCCACCATCCTCCAACGGAATCCCGAGACTGTCGTCTCCTTGGTAAAGGCCAATCTCCGCTCGGCTATACTTGACGCCGTCACGAAGGAACTGCGTGCTGCGATGAAGGCATTCATCTTTGAGGGAGCAGATGGCCGAAAGGGAGGCAGGCGTTTGGCGTAGGCGTCCAGAGACTGGTTTTTAGCCTCTATCCACTTGGCGGCCCGTTCTAACAGAGATACGCCACCCAGGTGGCGGGAATGTATGCTCCCATTCGGGATTGATGATGTACGGGGGGCCGACTTACTGGGGCACAGTCCATTCGCCTTCACTGTCGGCGGCGGCGGGTTCGATTCGGCAGGTTTGCCAGATTGCATTTGACCCACGGAGGTGATGTGTGCGTTCTTCATTTGGGATACGAGGTTCTCAGAAGTGGTCTCCTTGCTGGGTATGCGGTTGACTGGAATCGTCACCTCCGTTGGGACTTTGGAATTTTCTGTAGGAGGGGGCTTCTCCTCATGGGAATTATGCAGAGCGGGTTTCAACGCAGAGGCTACCGTGGTTGTTCCGTTTACTTCAACTACCACTGGAAGGTCCGGTTTTGTACCTGACTCGCGCCGACTCGGTATTGGTGATCCTTAGAAGACGGAAATAAAAATTCACGATGTTAAAATCCAAGACTTGCGCGCGCGCGCCTTACGTGGTTGTCAATTGTTCGGTTACTACGGACGAAGTGCGCGCAGATTCATTAAAATGTAAGTGGCATGCCAAAAAAAAGTTTTTTGAGATAATACTTAACTTCTTTTCGGAACAAATTATCCGAAAAACCAGTGAAAACGAGAGCAGTTCATGAAACCGCAAAGTGATCTATTCCAAGATTTTCAGGAAAATGACAGTTCGCTACTTAAAAGCTCACTTCTGCGGTTCCAGATGCCATGATTGCTCCTTCTCGGGCACCGGTACGATGGTTATTCGCTCTCGCATCAGTTTCTTCACAGACATACAAATTTCGCTCGATTATAGAAACTACGAAAATTCACGATATATTTGCTGAACTTGCTAGAGATGCTGCTGATTAGAAAGGGGTTATTATGTGACATTGAACTGCCAGATAGATTAGCAAAAGTTCTGAAGTTAATTCATGTGCAGTGGCATGTGGGCGTTGGTTTCAGCATCACCGTGGCCGCCGCATTACTCTCGTCTTCAAGACATTACTACGCGCGCTCTTTGTCATTTCTTTCCATCTTTATATCAAATATCAAAATTTCACAGTTTGGTCAATATGAATTATTCAAAATCTGCCAAAATACCTATGAATTACGTGAGCCTGGTAGTCATCTGGTGGATTCTAGGGGCATTACTTAGGAAATCCTGCTTGGGCAGTCAACTTACTGTATCAGATTTGGTGGATTCCAGACGTTGCAGTAGGTTGGGCGGGTAAACTTGACTCAAATGTGATCAAACTCGCGTCGTCCGGCGGGGCCTCGTAGCTCAAGTAGTTACAGTGTTGTCTGTACTAAACCCTTCTCCTTACTGCGTGGGTTCGAATACCGACGAGGCGCCGAGTTTTTCACAGTTCGGTCAATATGAAATAAATTATTCTTCGTATAAAGGTCTAACAAGTTTCCATGCCTTATAGTCCCTTAAGAGCATGTATGATTTTCGAAAAATAAAGCCCTTGATTAAATCATTACTGCGTTATTCCTCTTTACTCATGAACAGGGGGAAAATTTTATCTTTGGCTGAAAAGCGAAATCTCGGGGAGGCGGTGCCCGCAGGTTTCTTAAACTGTGTTCGAAAAGCTTCGGCCATTTTCATCAAAGCTGTAAAATGTCTACAGTATATGACCAGTGAAAGAATAAAAATAAGTAGAATCGAATTACCGACTAAGACAAGGGAGGCTCCATTGTCTTTGTCGGTAATGCTATCATGCGCCGTTATGTGCCTGCTGGCGAGGGTGGAGAGAGAGTCCAAAGGCACAATGGGACGAGTGAGCTCCGTAGCGCCATCGGTGAGCGCCCTCCTACCATTAAAATAAGGTCTTGTGGAAAGAATTCCTGAAGTTCTGAAGAGTCCTTATAACTAGGCCAAATGGAGTCCATATTTCACAAAGTAAGCGAATTTTTGAACGACACGGTAAAAAATGTGTGTAAATCCCATTTTTCCAATATCAAACGCAGTTAGCTTCAAGCCTAATTATTATGTGAAACGTCATTTATTTCAGGGGAAAATATAAATTCGCATTAGAGCATTGCAGTAAACGAAAATAAGGTATATAGTTGATAGTATGGCTTAAAATGTGAGTTCCGCATTTGAGGATTAAAACATTCAAGTAATCTGGATTGCCTCCTGCCGGCAAAATCCTAAAATGCCTACTTTATTTTTGCATAATTGATTAGCTTAGAATCAACAAACTTATCACGACTAGAATTCCAGTTGTTTCATTCTAGACAAACTCCAGGTGATGTAGGCGGTGATAATCTTCGATGAATAACCAGATGTAGATATGGGATACTGCTCAGCCTAGTAGAAGCACTTTATTACTTTTCCATTGTTAGTATTGGCTTGTGAATTCGTGTGTTGGGTAGGAGAAACTGTCCATCCTCGCCTACCAATAATGGCTCCTTACAAAGACCTCTAGAGCAGACTCTCGAGTTGCCCACACGGTAAGTAAATTTTACTTTGTTCTCCGGGTACGATTCAAGGTTCGTTTCCTTTGCAATCGGTTATAAGTTGTCACATGACGCACAGCCTTCCATTTCAGCCAATCGGCACTAACCACATCTACATGCGCCACAGCATCTGGCCAAATTTACCCGAAAAAACAATGAATGCCCAAATATTAACTAGCACAGCACGCAATTTACGTACAAAAACCCAATCCAATCGTGATAGAGTTCTGAATTAGTCAAATTCGGTCATGATATACAGAAAGATCAAATATATATTTAGGCAGATTTTTATAGCCACAGTGACCACTCACGCGTAAGGCGGTTAAGCAGATAACTGGCGCGTCACTGTGCACGAATTAGTTTTTAATGTTTATCCGTATTGCAAGCGAAATTAAATCGGGGATTTCAGTTCACGGCACAAAGGTTACGGCGATTTCCGCATGAATAGGCTTAAGGGATTTCAAAAGGAAAATAAACCGCGTCTGACACCTCACAAACCAACCTTCAAAAAATCGTATTGGGCAATTAGCTCGATCAAATTTAATTAAAAAGGAGTGTCGATACTCGTTGGGGGGGGACAATTACGGCGCTTTTGCGCCTAAGTCGACGGGCACCGCAGTCATGTGATCCATTTTTTTCTCTCACTTGATACCACGATAGAGAATGTCTGAAACCGCCGTTTGGCCGTAAACATAATAGCAGCGTAGAATACGTTTTTTTAAAAGTCAAATTTTATTCCATTACCGTTTTATTTGCTTTTGCTAATTCATGCTGGTAGATTTTATTATATTTCGGCTGACGGTGACGAATATCGAGACAAATAATGTTTTCTGCATTCTTAATTAGTTAATACGAGGCCAGTTGCTAGTCATCCATTGAAAGCATCTCGTTTTTCACTATCAATGAAAACAAGGATGCAATTTATGCAAAAATATTAATTGAGTGATAGCTTGGCGTATATCACCAACAGTTGCGTTTCCTTCTTCAAATCCAAACTGACGACTAGAGAAATCTGCTGTACAATACCCCAAACACAACAACTGCAGTGAAATCCAGAAAACTGGTATCGAAAGTTGCCCAAACTTTATATTCCATGCTCGTAATCCTCATTAAAATTACCTACGCTTTCCATAAACACCGTTATTTTAAAACTCGGTCAAGTTACGAGATCGGATAGAATGGAAAATAAACCAAAATTAGCTAACACTTAGCATTATGCCAAATTTTATGTGAAATGCTTGCAAAACACGTGCATAAATTACATTCGGGACAAAAGCTGCATTTAATTACCCTGTTTATTTATCGCTTTTGATAAACACTTTGAGAACTTTACATTCCCAAAATGCTGCATATAAATTTTCTTTCATAATTTTCACATTGAAAACGTTTGTGTCATTGCAATTGTTTGATTCGAAGGTCTAGAATAGTGCAGTAGTTAATGCGTCCGTTAAAACATAACAGCGTATCCCCGCTTCTCGAGTGCCTCAAAAAATCATTAATCGTTTTCGTCTCTATGCAGAGGCCGCATGATATCACAGAATTAATTACAACGAATGTAAGTGCTCACTTTGCAAAAATCATCTTAGAGTATGCAAATATTAGTGTGGGCGTCCGAAAAATTCCTATGACTGAAAAATCCGGAAATCGAAATTACCCCCCTTCGTCAAGTAAAACAATTTTGATCAATGAGTTATTTTACCCTAGCGGGAGAGTTAGAAATGGAATTAAAAGTTAATTATGCGTAAGTTTGTTAAATAATTGCAGAAAAATCGAAGAAATGCCTCACTCAGACACCCTTTTTCTCCGGTCCTTATATACCAGAAAGCATGCGGCAACGCTTGAAGACTCAATGGTGAACCGAACCCCTCGCAGATGCGTCAAACAGCGACACAAGATCGACAAAACAGCCGTGTCTGTGCTTCTAACTAATATCTGTGCCATCAGTATGAAAAGCCAAACAGTAATTGAATGTAGAATCTTTGTGAGGCTACATGACAAATAAGCAACCCCATTTTTGCCTAGAAAATAAGACCTCAGGATAGGATATCAGCGCGTGGTTATCAGATCTCCTATGGCTCTGATATATTGTTGATGCAATTGTACCTCAACTTTAGTGCGTAAGTCCACAAATTCCTACTTAGTGTGTCCTTCACGAAGACTGTGTCGACGTTTTTGACCATGGGTTAAGCAATGCTCTCGGGGTTTTGCTATAACTAACGCCCCAAAAAACCCAGTCATCTTGTTAGCAATGTGCAGATTTTTTAAAATCATAATGTGTACTGACATTTGAGAGAAAAAAAGGGATGCTAAACTATGCCTCAGACAGTGGCGCCCGCATGTTACATACTGTCAATTGCAAGAAAACTTGTCCTACGTAAAGTAGGTGCTTTGCAGAAAGGAATAAATTAATTTGGAGAAAATTCAATTCACGTAGTCTGCGAATTTCCTCAAAGCTGGCATATACTCTAGAATACCCCGATCTCTTGAGACTGCTTGGGCGCCACAGGAAACGCTCCGAGTATGTTTAGCCAATTTCTGATTGTAAAAGTGCTCACGCAGAACAACAGGAAAGTGAACAAGTGCGCGGACAGATTTGTTCGAAAACAATAACAGCTTGTGAGACGCCTTCATCATTTCTGAGGAACATAAATAAATAAAAACGTGTAACGAGGATACTTACTGTATTTTAGATGCTAAATCACAAAATAACACTCCATATAACAAAGGCAGACTTTTGCTAACATTTTACGTCTTGTAGCGCAGTGGACATACAGTAGGCGAGCTAACTCATGAAATGTCAACCGGAATTCCGAAATGCGTTTTCGTTTCAAAAATATTAATTAAGTAGGGTTGTAAAAATACTCAGTTTGCAACGTAATTCTACAATATTTCAGTTACCACGGAATGCCAACTTTCGAATGAACTTCCTTCCGGCTGCATTCAAAAACTATACTCTGTAAACAATGACTACTTATTTGGCATGCATTTGTTTCATTGATTTTCGCTGTCCCCAAAGGTCCAATTACATTCCATGACAAACATGCATAAAATATTCATCCTTTCGCAAATTCGGTAGATAATTATGTCTTCTTCCAGTTTTATACTCGAAGGAGGGACATAATTCAGTTTTTAAAAATTTTCTAATTGTGGGACTCTTAAATACCGTGAAATGGCCGTTCATATATCGTCATGTCTCTTCATTTACCAATGTGTCATGCAAACGTAACAATATTGATCAAATTCACTGCTAAGTTTTATGAAACCTACATGAACCCCCTTTATTATCGTAGAGAAATGTGTGCTTTTTCATACGCGGCAAATATACGGCCTGTAGCTTGGAAACCCTGAATCCACGTTTGACAGTAGAGCGGGTTCAAAATTATTCCGGAATTAAAAGAAGTTCTTAAACACCGAATAATACTTTTCCTTCGAGTGTAAAATTGACAGAAGTTGTAATTGTCCACTGAAAGAGCAAAAGAATGGATATTTTTATGCATGTTTTCCATGAAATATAATTGGACATTTAGGGGCATCGAAAACCAATGAGAAAAATTCATGCTACATAAGTAGTCGTTATTTACAGAGTGTGGTTTTTGCATGCAGCTGGAAGGAAGTTCGTTCGAAAGCCGGCATCCTGAGGTAGCCAAAATATTAAAGAACAATGTTGCAGGCTGACTAGTTTTATAACCCTACTTAATCAATCTTTTCGAAACGAAAACGCATTTCGGAATTTCGGATGACATTTCATGAGTTAGCCCACCTAGTGTAGCATTATTCAGCTTCTCGGAGCGACGCATTTCGAGTCGCGATTCGGTTGTGTCTGGGAGTCAGGTGCATACAACCGTTTCCGACTCTGGTCTATAATACTGGAAGCGCCGAACGAAACGCCCGTTAATTACGAGGTTTGCAGAAAAAATGCGCGCGACTTCGAGGGAGAAATACGCACTACGCATTGGTTAAAATACGATATATGTAGACAATCTCTTGTGTAATTATTTACCATACTAACAACACAGGTATTAGCTAAAAGCCCAGACACGCGTGTTTCGCCAATCTTGTGCCGCTTCCTGACGCGGTTGCGGGGGTTGAGCTCATCGGTGGGTTTCCCAGCTCTTCCCGTGTTTTTTCTGGTATATGAACTCCAGCTTCAACTTGCCTTGTTTAATTTCCACGGAAAGTAATGCGCGAACTTGGAGGAAATCTGTCAGAACAGACCATTTCAGGCACGGTCCAACATTGCATACGAATATTTGAGCTGAAATCCATCAGTCACTGCGGACTAACCGTCAAGTAATTACACAATTCTATACTACTGACTGCCTGCGGCAGTTTTTGAATATTACGCGGTCATTCCGCAGCAGCTGATGCATCTCAGATCAAATGTACATATCAAATTTCGGACCGTGCCTGAAAAGTTCTGCTCCGAAAGATTTACTTCAAGTTCGCGCATTAATTTCCTCGGAAATTTAGCAAAGTAATTCAGTATTCTTTAGTTTTCAGAACACATGGTAGCTTCTTTGCCGCTAAAATGCTGTTTGACAAGGCAGACTGTCGAAGACGGTACAGACGACTCTTTATTGAGTAAGATATGTAGTCAGTTTAAGTTTATGAAAAAAACAAGGCTAAGTTCTAAAATACAGTGACAGGTATGGTTATTTTTGCTATATTTCGAGTTTATACTCGTTCGAACAAAAAAGGTTTTCTGAGAAAGCCTGCGCTTTAAGAATTAGAACGGCGTCTTTGGTAGTTGTTCTACGGAACAAAATATCAGGAAAGAAAGCGTCGAGGGAAGTGTTTGAAAGCACTTCATAAAAGTGAAAGCGATGGCTCGCTGAGAAAACGTTTAAGGACAAAATTGGTCTGCAAACGTATGAAGTGGGTAAAAGAGTAGAGGTAGATTTTCATAAGGCATGAAATTATGATCGATCTTATCTTTTTAAAAAGTAGGCGGGGTTACTTGGACTAAAACAAATTCTAATACCCCATTTAAATGTAAGAAGTTTTGTAATGGTTCTTGAACGTACACCGAGAAGAGCTTAATTATGCCAAATCACATGTTTGCTTCCTACATCTTATTAGAAGTACTGGCTAGTTCGCAAACTGATATTATGGTCGAGCATATTAAATTCGGTTTTAACATTTTTCAAAAATCCAATTTAGTTGCATACCTGAGGATATAGGAGATGTGCCGTTGAGAATGGGGAAGCCTCCATCTCCCCCTTCTGTTGTAATATTTTCAGCCGATGACTTTCGACTATCGTCTTTGCCCTACAAAGTATCATAAATCGTCTAAAAGAGAGTTGTGAATCCTTTCAGCCAACTGCACAGTTTGCGTAAATATATAGAGCTTGGGAGGACACATGGTATAATCTTATTTAATGCTCTTCCCCATCCCCTCCTAGCCTGACTCCCAATTTCAAACCTGGATTGAAACATCAAGGTGCACTAGAGTCCAGATGGCTGAACAGCATCCTCAATTTTATTGCCTCTGATCCGAAATTCCGATACAGAAAGCGGTTTCCGCCGACTTGTCTGGTCAAGAGGGTAGCAAACAGTCTCCTATTGCATAGCACCGAAGTGCACGTACAAAAGGGACCTAATTAGCCCTTCTACGAGGTCCTGATTCAAATTATCTCCTGCTTCTCGCGACCCCGAATCCTCCCCTGCTCGAATACCATCCTCTGCCAACCGACAAAAGGCTATTAAATTGCAAAGGACAAAGATAGGAGAAGGCCAAAAGTGGCCCGCTCGAAAACAACCACTTCGCCTAATGAGTGCTTCGGATGGCACAATCAGCAAGGTCTGCAACCGTTAATTGCCGCCTCGCCTTCTTGAAGAACCCGAAGGGCTTTTACACAGCTGGTCTTCCCAAGCGCCGGAGACGGCTAACTGTTAATTGGCATAAAAAGGATGTCTGTGGTCGACCTGTTTTGTGCAGTCATCAAATATTAGTATTTACTAGGCGGCCACTTATCACACGATTTAAAAGACAGCGGACACACCGTGATCAGAAAATGAGAAATACACCGAAAAAATAAGGTGTGCATTTTTGAGACAAGGATAATTAAATTTGTTGAGAATAAAGCTGTGCTGGAAAACATTTATAAGATATTTTTTCTTAACGTTTTGACCAAAAGATATAATTTACCTACACGAGAGCAAATTCAGTCGAATCTAAATTAGGCGCTTTGCAACAAAAGTTTAACTACAGATGAAATATGCTGTAGGCAAAACCCTGTAAGACAGACAGCTGGGTAAAGGCCCACGTTAGGAAAGGGTTCATTGGAATGTGACCTTGCACCAGAAGGAATGTGAACATATTTTTAGTTTAGCCCTACGCAAAACATTCCACAGAATTAAATGAAAGGATAGAAATAAAAACACACCTTGTTGTCCACAGACAGGATAGACGAACAGTTGTCGAACACTGCTGCATTTTTGAGTGCAGGGAGGTCCATCCTCTGGATTACGGGAATTTGTGATTCGGAGGTCGTACAGGAGCTCTAAACCAAAATATTTTCTATCAATCTAAACAGTCTCCCACTTCGCTCAGCAAGATTCTGTATATGCCAAAAGTAAGTTTCATGTTTTTCCCCATTCTGAGATCCACAATCTCTCCGTGAACCCTCCTTTGATGTGTAATCAAGACAAGAGGAGGACCCCTGGCGCCCAACACTTCAATTTGGGCAACTGCCAGACCAGCTCCTGCGCAACCTAGGCTCGGAATCCGTATTTTCATAAATGTCAGCCGAGCATATAACGACGTATCTGGGCATTCGATCATGCCGCAAAATTGATTAGAGCAGAACACTTCGGCAATTTATTTTATAAGACACTGACAACCATGGGGTGTCCTATCTAACAGTAATAATCTTTTCCGACCCATCTCTATTTCTCTGAATGAACCTTTGGTTCTACTTTCTGGGTGCTTTTCACGTCGAAAATTATTTTGAAGCATCCAGACTGCACTTGGAAACTTTAGCCCATACTGTTTTTCCTATCAACCGTTTATAAATATTTAGGACCGCTCATCTATTCGCCTCATTTTGTTGAGGTTTAACGGTCTAAGAACTGTAGCGATCTTTTGAAATACAATTTTGTTTTTCAACGAATGTAGGTATTTCAGCGTTGTGGGTTTAGCGATAGAAACATTTTAGCTGACCTGGGCAAGGATATGATATGATGGACAAAGAAGCCCTTGTTAAAAAATCAAGCAGACTAGTTTGGACTGTTCCGCCCTAATTTTTACCAACTTTAATATAACAAAATTGGCTTCTTAACAATGTGTGTGTGATCATGGCATGTTAAAGAGATATGTCAGGAAGAGAACCGTAGTCAAAGACCTGAACTGAAGGGTATTCAAATCCAAGGGTTTGGTTAATTCTTTTTGGTTTCGTTCAGTTAATATAATAAATTCCCATCGTGTTAAGCTTAGGCAGGACAACAAAACCATAAACGGCAAGTGTCATGTCAGATGAATATGCATGTATGTGCAGAAAAAGTTCAACTACGTTAGACAAGTTTCCAAGGAAAGTTAAACGGGTAAGAAGGGAAAGTGACCTAATTCTAGCGCTGTAGGAATGAATCAAGTTCAGGCCGCCTAAAGTACAACATTCAGCACACTCCGTCACTGCTGACTCTTAAAATCTTCTCCGTATAAATACTTTATTAATCCCTTGTCAGCAACTCGTTTCATGAGACGCTAACAATTTGCGTTACACTTTCTGGTATGGGATTGTCGTCTCGTTCAAACTCCAGCTTCCCCAGCATAGACTGGCAAAGTTTAATGTTCCGGGATGGCAATTTGTAAAGGAGAAATGGATGGCCACACCCAACTTATTCTACCACTGTAAACGATGTCGGCCGATTTTGACCGAAAGAGTTGAGAATTTTTAATGTCTACGGCCAGTCGCGCATTAGCTTATTCTGCTGACATTTGATTCTCTCAGTGTAAAACTTCCCAAGGTCGTATTAAGTTAAAAACATATGTCTACTTATTTTGGCATAATGATGTCAGAGCTATCATTAAAAGTGTACCAGAAACCACAGGAAGAACACCAAATCTTATTCAGAAGGTTGCTGAACCAAGGTTACGATTATTTAGCTAGTGCCTGTATTCGAAACCTGACTAGGTAAAGAGTACTAGTAACGTGTATAAGACAAAAATAGAGGCAAAATTTTGCCAAATGTCAAATTACGTAAAACAATCTCAATATCTCGCTTCTGTTTTTGAAGAGGTTTCACTCAATAATTTGAGTCAAAAATGTTTGTCTCCCTGAAGATGTCCTCCCGATCTTCCGACCAGGCGTTCTAATTCCAGTTTCTATAAGTAACGTTTAACGCACTTGAGATTTGGGTTGTCGCAAGCCACGAGGTTCATCCCGGACTTGGCAGCGCAATCGTGGTTTGCGTGGGAAGTTGTTTACAGGACATTGGACCTTCTTTGCACCTACGTACATCATTATCTCGTCGCATTCCGCCATATTCCTAAGGCAGGGCCAAGTTAGTATGGCTGCAGATAGGCATGGACACAGTGACTAACAAAGCTAAATAGCCCGCCTACACGTTCATCAAGCGGTTTGGTATACACTGTCAGTGACTGATCTCATAAAATTTCAGTCGAAATTCCAAAATGCGTTTTCGGCTACGAAGGATGAGTTAAAGAGGCCGCCTGAAAAAATGCACTCGGAAAAAGTAACTCCTATGTAGCATGCGTTTTTGTAATTGATTTTCATTGCCCATAGAACTTGAATAAATGCCAGAGAAAAATAGAAACAACAGACTTGTTGCACTCAATTGACAGAAAATCATGTTTTCTTTAAATTATTTTCAGTCAAAAAGGGTATATTTTGGTTTTAAAATACTCCTAATTATGAGATATTCTAGACTGTGCAAAGTCCATTCAAAGTGATCGTGCCTGTCCGTTTATTGATGTTCTCAATGACGCGTGAAACACAGTCTATTTCAATTGCAAAATTTTAGGAGCCATATGTGACACCTTCTTAGCAATATGGGGAATGCATGATAGTCCTTGTACGAAAAGTATACGGCTTGTGGGATGAAAGCTCTAAACGCAAATGCAACGGCATATTGCGTTCAAAAATATTTGGAAATGGAAAAACGTCTTTAAACCCTTCACGCGAGCATGAAATTTGGAAAAGATATAAATTCCTGCTAAACGAGTGCAAAAATATTTTGTGCATGCTTTTATAAAATATATTTAAGGCTTTAATGACACCAATAATCAGTAGAAGAAGTGTACACTACTTAGTAGTCCTTTTTTATCGAGTGTTGTTTTTCAGGCCACCGAAACGAAATGTATTCAAAAGCCGACATTCTGACATGTATGAAATATCTTGGAATTGTATCACAAGACAGTCAATCTTACAATCTCGCTAACCTAATTCTTACTAGTCGAAAACGAGTTTCGGAAGTTCGGTTAGCGTTTCATAGGATCGGCCATTGACTTTAAGTCCATACATAGCAGACCCCACTGGGAGATGTCTCAAATATCATGCCAGTGTGACTGCAATAAGGTTCATATTGACAGAAAACCACTCCATATTGACCCAAGCTCCCGGAGAGGACCGGGTCTTCTCTTCAATTGCCAACCTACCAAACCAAGACTATTAGCGCGTCGTAATATTTTACGATCCATGGTGAAAAATTAGACATTGAATGCGAGCTGGAAGGAGCAGACTCTCTTTTTTCTCCCCGATATACTAATGGTCTCTCAGAGACATTCAGGTTTCAGGTAAAATTTAGCACTGTAGCTTACGAGATTCGAAGTTGTCGTCTAACTCGTGCCCGGATGTCACCTGAGTGATCTTTTTTGAACTGGCCACATCAAGATGGAACGATTGTAGTCAGACGTGTAGCGGGCAGCCATCATGACCGGTCTGGCGTCATTGTTTGAGGCGTCGCTACCCCAAGGTCATCCGCCCTTTTGCGGTGAGCCGTTCCAGACGCACTGACCTGAAGTCACACGACCGACAGCTCGGGCATACCTGCGTCCGCACAGCCGCAGCTGCACATGCGGCAACTTGAACGCACCCCCCCCTGCAAGTGCAACCACTGGGACACCACCCCTCGGAAAATGCAACACACACTGACTAGACACCACTTTAGTTTGGCCCACGATCTACAAAGGCGGTTGCCACCACTATCTCAGGGACTCTCAGGCCCGACTGGACGCAGTCAACACCAGCCATGGCTTCGCCAATGACCACTGCCGCCTGAAAGGACAACTCCGGGCTCTGTGCACAATAAACCCCTTGTTCTGGTGCCTTCCGTCTCCTCTCCTTACGACTTGAGATTCGATTTGGTAGTCTTAGCGCTCATAGCACACAGTCTCACTACATAACCACTACAGACGCTTGTTTCAAAGGGACAGCCTTCAAAGTCACACTTGTTAGCGGTTTGTGGAAGAGTTAAACGCGTCAGATTTATTAGTGTGAGGGATGTCCCGAAATTCCATGTAGATGGACATCCCAGATTTACTCTCATTTTTCCCAAGTTTGTCGGCCGACTGATGACGCGAGTCCCCAACTAATGTGTGCCTCACGAATGTACGGGGCCACAGCTAAGGACTCTGTACAATTTAGCGTGGTGTAACTCATGTAGATGGTCAATGTGGGTCCAGGCTTGGTCAAACGCAACGGCGGCACAGTCCATCTGGGTGTCAGCTTAACTTCTCCAGTATATTTTGCATCGGGAGAGTATGATAAATGGGAAAAACGATAAAAGAATGCAAGCCTGCTTCCCAGGGTACATATGTGCGTGTAAAAACTTGTAAAGAACATCACGCCCTTTGCTGCATTGGCTGGCATTCTGTCGCGAGGTACGATCTTGTCGAAAAAATCACACGCCCCTCTCATTAATAATACACATTTTCAGGTGTTGAAGTTCTCACGTACCTGTATCCACGCGTGTCGAAGAGACTCAGCCGCCGTTGCTCGCTTCCTACAAACGCATAAAAAGGCGAAAGTTTTCGTTGTGTATGCATGTACAATTATGGCTGAATTCTGCAAATAGCTTTGTAAGTCAAAACTTGACACTGCCATTTTCTGAGTAGGTCTGTTCATCACTTGTACATTGGCAGATGAGATGCTACATCATAACGACATTCGTAAATTCATTATGCTAGCGTCTATGCTTTCGTAAGATGCTTTATGAATTTATCAAACATGCAACCATATTCGTTATTTAATAGTTAGAACAAGGGTGATTGTAATCAAAATTAGATATTACGCCTTGACGATCGTAAGCCGCAAGCAACGAATTCGTTTAAAAAGCTGGTTTTCAAAAGCAAATATTTACGTAAACACTAAAGAACCGCCGTCATAGAGTCTTTATCCTAACGCTTCCTCTTCTTTTGATCTGCTACCTGGGAATCGTATTTTCACTGCTATTGGTCCTTCTACGTGTGTTGCGCTAAACTACATGCAGAGTATCGGGCCGTATGCCACATCATTCGTTCGGGGAACCGTAGAAAGTCCGCCGAATACAGTATGGGCCTACACTCAAAACGTCCCTGAAAGTCTGGTAAAGTGGCTTCCGGTTTAGAAAGTAAAATACCAGCGGACAGATCTGGCAGATGGCAAAAATACGCTGAAGTTGGGGAGCGTGAAATCAAAGGAGACTATTAAGTCAGGAGTAAACTTCGTATATTCGTCACTTAAGATAAACTCGCGAAGTTATAGAGACATTTAGTTATTATAGTGAAACCAACTGACCAAGCAATTATTGTACCACCTAGTATTGACAATTTAACCGTCGTTGCCGACGATGTCCACCGTGTGTTCCACGGCAAGGTGAGAGCAGGCATGGTGACTTGCGTGTGAGTTAGTTTACAGTAATAGTAGACTTGCTCAGCATCAACCGCACTCTCTCATCCGTGCCTTCCTGAGCCCGGTGTCAAGACAAAGTCAGCAAGACCGAAGGCGGGGGAAGGCGCAGGTGGCTGGCACGATCGAACCCGCACCTAGACATGCCATCTCACCCCCTCGTCCACTACAAAAACTTGACCAGGATTTTGACCATCAGCAAAAATGGGTTAGAAAAAGAAGGATGACACAAGTCCATGGGCAACCACGCACACACCCACTACACCCAGTGGGAGCGCAAGCACATCTATCGACAGGGAACCAGGTGCCTGAAAACTGTCAGCGGATACCAGTCATCTTTATTGTTTTTTGCCTTTAATGGTGAATTCAAGCATGCAGTTGAAACTTCGGACTATCCGTTTACGTATTTGGTGATAAGGTCCAATTTACGGACGAAAGTCTATTTTCAAAAATAGACTACCAGCCTCAGGGTGGCTGCCAGAAAAAAACTGTGGAGTGCTATAAAGTGGTGCGACCATAGTATCCATGAAAACAACATCATCCCATTGCAAAAACGACCGTCAAAAATATCGTACATACCAGAGACTACTCAAAGCGAATATTAATGCATGAGGGAATGAAATTTCCATAAATTCTGACAAAGTATCGAAGTTAAACTTGTTATGGTCCGTGCGAGTTGAACTAACTCGTGTACACACTCCGCGCTGGAACATTGTCACAGGGTCCGCGATTCAAAATGACTCATGACTTCGCGCTATTTTCTGTGTGCGGTTAGTGTGTGCATACACTTGCCTGTCGTTTTACGCGGGTTCCGCATATCAACAAATTATACAAGACTTGCATTAAAATTCAACTTTATCGCCATCTTGCAGAGGAAGAAGACGCTTGGAGTTTGCATTTAAAAGCTGGTATTAAATCACATCGATAACTGAAAGGCACCATAGAACTTTAAGCAATTCTCCTAAATCGTACAGTTAAATGGGGTATATAAGATTACTCCCAAAATCTTCATGTTATTTAAAGCACATTTCTCCCTCATCGTGTCCAGGAAACACGATTAGACCTACTTCAATTATCAGAAATCTTGAGAGTTTTAAGAAGAACTAAAATTGTAGTAACGACGGCGAACATTTGAAATAGTTGCGTCGCTAATATATTTGACTTGAATTTTGATAATTTTCGTCTTCTAAGCATTCTTAGAAACATTTTCTTGAAACCGCTCATCTTGTCCAAATATAAATCGCGTTGGTCATTCCCCTGAAAAGCACGCCTTTAAGTGTTTGGTTAAATGTTGCATGCTCTTACAATTCAGGATGTTTCTGGTCGACAAAGGTCCCTAACTTCTGGGCTTGCAAAGATGTTTCAGCGTCCGATAGGGTTAGGTTATTGGGTGTCCGGTCGGAAAGAAAGAATGCGCATTTTACCCAGGACTTGGCATAGCAACAACTTATGTTCTAGAGAGTCCATTGGCATGTTTTTTCGCTCGTGATGGTCGATGCTGATATGAGCGTACTGATACCAAAAGTCTGGTAATTTGTAAGAGCATTAAAACTGTCGCATTTCCCCGTTACTTGCATCACCACTTCTGGGTATTACGTCTGCCGAGCGGTTTTGCACAACACGGTTTGCTGGCAAGGAACCGAGCAGTTCAAGTTCTCACGCAAAGTCGCAACCTGGTAACCACTCGTTTCCCTTAAGTTTGTTTTGACTGCGCTTTTGAAAAAAATAAGGAAGAGTTGCAAGTCTGTTGGAATGCGGAGGGATGGGAATAATGCTGCCTGTCAGAATCTCAAGTATAGTACCTTTTGTCTTCGTTTCCAAGCAAGGACCATGATAAATGAGAACGGAAGTACGGTCTTATGAGGAAATACCTGCCGAAAATACTGCTGAGGGGAATTGTGTGTAAATTCATCCTTTTATTATGAACTATCAGTGTCTGTTGTACTTAACTGTTTTTAGTATCCTCAAATGAGAAATAATACTGCATACTTCGTTTGGTCTCTGCAAAAACAGCAAACAGAGTTTGTGATCTCACTCATTGTGAGCTGCCAAACAAATGGTTCCCGAGTGGGGATCCTTATGATTTCGTAAACATGTAAGGAGTTCTGATGTTCTACCGTATGAGTAGTTTGAAGGTTACATGCTATAAAATTTCCAAGGGTATTTAAGCAATCATAGATCACCAATAATACAATATATGTGCTAACTCATGAAACGTTACTCGAGATTCCAAAGTGCTTTTGATTCGAAAAGATTACTAAGGTAGAGTTGTAATATCAGCTATTTTGCAACATCATCACAAAATGTTTCAGCCACATCAGGGTGTCGACTTCAGAACGAGTTTCTTTTCGACCGCCTGCAAAAATTACACTTTGTTAAAAATAATTACACAAGTAATATGGATTTTTTCCCATCGATTTTCGATGCCATCCTAAATGCAAATATACCTTGTAGAGAGCATGCATAGAAGTATCTATTTTGTGTTCATTTGGTAGCATTTTATGTCTCCTGCAAAACATAGGCTTGAAAAATGACATTTTGCAGAAAAAATATTTTCGACTCCCGAACAATTTTGATCCTTATCTGTCGTCACGCGTACATTTAAGGTTTTCAAACTTTGGGCTGTTTATTTGTTGCGCAAGGGTGTCATACAGGACGCGAATTTCGCAATGCGAGTGAGCTAAGTTGCATAATTTATAAACAGCCTTAATATATGGGCACATTCGATGCATTATGATAAGATACCTCGCGGTATAAAATAGTGTCATAATTAGAAATTTTTAGAGCCCAAGTGTGCTCAATCGTCAAAGGCAGCCATTTGTTACTAAATGAACACGGAAACGAATATTGTTGTGCATCCCCTCTATAACATATATTTTCATTTATATGGCATCAAAAGGGAAATATCCTATTAATTGTGTAGTCATTTTTCAGAGCGTTGTTCTCGAAGGTGGCCGAAAAGTAACTCGCCCAAAGACCGGCATCCTGACGTACATGAAATATTTTGAAAATATGCTGTACTGTAATCAATATTATAATCCTACTTAGGTAATCTTTCCGAATCAAAAACGCTTTGGAATTTCGGTTTACCTTTTATGAGAAAACATGTTTATTTTTATATCTGACCACGTCAACAATGTCGGTCTAAGGATTTAAAGCATTATTACAGGAACGAACAATTTCTGCCAAACTTTATTTCAAACTGATTCACGCGTGGTACGCCGGCCTTCCATTGAAAGATTTCGTAGCTTCCAATTTCGTTATAACATCAAAAATAATTACTCCACCCATTTATATTTTCTCTGGTTTTTTAATATTTACCTTGCGTAGCATAAAGTATACAAGAATTCGGTTCATAACGCTGTTGACTTGGAGAGCAAGTGTGCTTTTTCCTCCTTCTAAAATTTCCCATTTACTCGATGCGCACAACGACCGGAAACAATTTCAAATTCCTGCCATATTAATATAGGAGACATTACAAAGCTTATTAAATACCAAGTTTTGCTAGCGAAACTGCGCGTTTTCTCCACTAAGTCAACAAATTCGTGGACATCAGGATGCGTGCATCATCAAAGAAACGCTTTAGATTAGAAAGGGTTTGAAAAAAAACCTTTACCTTTTTTCTTGGCACAAGTTGCAGCAGAACATGCACTCACGCTTCTCTAAATTAAATCTATGCGGATCTTGTCACTTTTAGAAGTACTGATCTACCACTGCAATTTCATTATTTATGATCCAAACACTATTCTAAACGGCATAGTTTCTGTTGTTTGGGAAGATTTACAACAGAAAATCAGAAAGATAGGGTGTATCGATTTTTCCGTATGTACTAGGCTTATCCGAATTGCAATTTCATGTGACTAAATTTTGCGTCATTGCGGTATATATAAACCTGGGGCCGATGGCTCACCAGTTTTCAGCTTAAAATAAATAATGTGGACATTGTCATGAAAACGGCCTCTGACAGGAATTTTTCTGGTTCTAGGGCTTACTTGCAGGCAAAAAAATAATTCGAGCATTGTAGCTTCATGAATTTTGTCGGAAATTTTTGGAGGAATACACTTCCACATTTTATTTCTTTAATGGGAAGAACGGAAGTGATCAGTGCGTACAAGATAAACTGGGAAGGAAAATATGTTTGTGCCTGTGTAAAAGACAGGGCCCGGATGGTAGTTCTGAGGTGGAATAATAAAATTCCTGCTGAAACCTGACATTTACACTGACAATGTTCTTCTTCTGCTTTTCAACCTAGCCAGCCTTAATTACCGTTTTAATGTCATATGTATAATTTTATGATGATGTTTTAGTGCGTCTCCTAGTAGGTCAATTTCCGAAAGCGACCTTAAGGAATAACTCTATTCACTCTATGCTTTGCCTAGAACGCTGACTTTTATCCAAAATTTTTATCTGCAAAAAGAAAGGATGTTAGTATTGCCATTTTCGAGTACTTGACTGTTCTCAGACAGTGATCTTCTAGTCCCGCGCTCTGGCGCTACCAACATTTGAAGCCGGACCAGTAAGTCATTTATCACTTGGCTCCAACGCTCTATCCAGTTGTGCTGTCAAATTCGCCCCCCCCCCTCCCATCTGACATCGGTTGCATTTAGATAGGATTCACCGAGTCAGCTTTCGGGCGTGAAATACACATTAGCTTTGCATTACACGAGTGCGGTTGCAAATGTAATGCACATGTCATGGTTTGCTCAGCATGAGGCTCTGGAAGAAGTAAACCGGTTAATAGAAGGGGAAATATTGTCCAGTTCAGATTTAATGTAAGCCTACGGGAACGGAAGTATTGCAAAACACAATCTGCCCACGCACTACTTCAATTTTCTAGAGAATGAATGGGATAGGAGGGAGGAGGAGGAGGATGGTGACGATGATGATGATAATAAGGGGGGAGACAAGGTGAACCGCTTCTCTAACGTACTTGGGATTCTTTTGCAAAAGTCGATCCATGAAATCGCGAGCCGCAGCGGAAACCTCGTCGAACTCTTCGCGATCAAAGGTAACAGCACACTCGAGAATGTTTTGGAAGGTTTCGATTTGAGAATCACCAGCAAATGGAGAAATGCCACTCAGTCTGCAGTTTGAAAACAAGAGACAACTGTTTATTTCACTACGTCAAGACCAGAGAACCGATTTGAAGAGGAGAACAAAGTAGACATTGTTTGCTTATATTCGGATAATGGGGATATAGTACGTCGTTAGGCGTCGGTCCGACGTCTTCAGAAACTTCGTGAAGCTTATTATTCATGTTCATTTCACCACAGGTTAAATTCATCAGCACAATCATAGCAAGCAAATCCATCCCCACACCACCACTTCCATAACTATTATTCCTACCATCTCGCCACTAGTATCGGATGGAGGAGCCAGAGGGACAAACACATGCAACGGAAGCTCAAGCGTTAACCAGAGGCCTTAACTTCATGCCGTTTTTGCGGCTGGTTCCGATGGCATAGTAGAATATATTTTAATGTTTTATATAGTCGCTGACTCTCCTTTGGCGTTTAGAGTGACGTGAAAAGTGATTATGGCGGATTGGCAGTTAACTTAAATCTTTTAAAAGCAGACAACTTTGCAGCGGCCTACAGACACTAGGGGTCTGAATTCCTTTTGGAATACGTTAAAAAACGGCTCTCTAAAAACTTTTTTCCTTGTCAAAACAAACTTCTGAAGGCAGAAGAGCTAGGATCACAGCCAACCGACTCACTTACAGAATCTTTACTAAATGGAATAAGGTCAAAAAAGTAGGGTATCCTCCTAAAACATGTTCATCCGCATATTGCAAGCAGCGTCTCTGGACCCCTTCCTGGATGAAAGCTCTGGTATAGGCATTAAGCCATTTCTTCAGTTTCTACAAACTGCAGGTTTAGGCAGCGCTTCGCTTGTCTATGACTCTTAGCCTAGCAGTGCGCTATATACAGTAGATGTGCTAACTCATGAAATGTCAACCAAAATTTCGGAATGCGTTCTCGTTTCGAAAAGATAAATTAAGTAGTGTTGTAAAACTAATCATGATACAGCATAAATCTATAATGATCCAGTTACCTCAGGGTGTCGGCTTTCGAAAGAACTTATTTTCGGCTGCATGCAAGATCTATACTCTGCAAAAAATGACTACGTACGTAGTATGCCATTTTCTCATTGATTTTCGATGCCCTTGAAAATTCAATGTTATTTCATGGAAAACATGCATAAAAATATTCATTCTTTTACTTATTCGGTAGAAAATCACGTCTTCTTCCAATTTCATACTAAAAAGAAGAGTATAATTCGGTTTTAAAAAACTTTTCTAATTCCCGAATAATTTTGAACCCGACCTGCTGTTACACTTGCACGCAGGGTTTCAAAACTACAAGCTGTATACTTTCCGTGTACGGAAAACCATGCATTTCTCCACGGTGTTAAGAGGAGATCATATGAGGTTCATAAAATTAAGCAGTGGATTTGGGCAATATTGTCTGCCACATTCGTAAATGCAGATACATGACGTTTCATGAACGCCCATTTAACGGTATTAAAAATCTCACAATTAGAAACTTTTTTAAAACCGAATTATATTTTTCTTTTGAGTATGAAATTGGAAGAAGACGTGATTTTCTACCGAATAAGTAAAAGAATGAATATTTTTATGCATGTTTTCCATGAAATACAATTGAATTTTCAAGGGCATCGAAAATCAATGAGAAAATGGCATACTAAGTACGTAGTCATTTTTTGCAGAGTATAGATCTTGCATGCAGCCGAAAATAAGTTCTTTCGAAAGCCGACACCCTGAGGTAACTGGATCATTATAGATTTATGCTGCATTCTGATTAGTTTTACAACACTACTTAATTTATCTTTTCGAAACGAGAACGCATTTCGAAATTTTGGTTGACATTTCATGAGTTAGCACATCTACTGTAGAGGACTAAGCTGAAATTTGTGCCTGATGCAAAAACTGAGGACTGGTCGTTACCAGAGCGGAGAGGGCGAGAGAGTGAGGCCAGCCCTTCTGTATCAACACTAATGCGCATCTTCCAACTGCAACAATCTCAATATACATTGTAATTCGCGATGCAGTGAGCACTAGTGTCTCCAAACCCAGTTAGACGTTGGTATACTCTAGTCATTATTGTGAAATCCCTACAAAACTCGTAAAATCACTCTGCGGGAGACAATGGAACCGAAGTGTTAAACACACTACTGAATGTTTGTAAAATGCGTGGTACCGACCGAAGTTTATTTTAGAAGTCGCATAATTGGGAAGAAGTAGATGCGATTGCTGGATAAGAGCTTAATTCGCCTGACGTTTCGGATTCAGGCTCGAATCCGTCAATAGAGACGGATCAAATACGAGTAATTCATACACAGTAAGTCGCAGTATTCATAGGATGTAGTCGCTGTGTTACTGCATCTCTGTGATAATGGACGAGTCTCCCTTTATCGAGAACAGTTGCACTCTGACACTCTAATTGCTTGATGGCCGGCACTTTTGTTGTGAGTTGCCAAACCTCATTACCCGCGTTAGATGTTGGCGAGATGATTGCTCGGCTTGAGCACTCCCCGAGTGGCTAATTACTTTGGCTAAACTCACTTTCAGCATCGAATATGGGGTGATGAGGTCACTGCACCTGTTAATAGACTGGGATCTCGTAAACCATGACCCAAATAGCTCGCGAGAACTTCGGCCAGGTCTCGTCGAATGAGCCGCAAGTTGAGAGTTAGCGTCATTTCTCTAGACTACTGCCGCCCGTTTGGCGATTCGCATCCAGAGCAGCTTTGCAACGTAGTCGCTTTGCCCGCATCTGGACCAGACGTTTCTTATCGCGGCAGTGGGTCTTTTGGTTTCATTATTGAACACCTGATGGTTGCCACCGATTTGTGTGCGACTCCACCTCCAAGCGGTGCGAGAAGGAGACTGACAGCTTTCCAGACATCCTTGACGTACGGAATCCCTCGTCAAGACTTGGGGTCAGTGCGACTTTGCCACTGGTCTCGTTTGCACATGCACCGACTGACGAAGTTACGCGAGAAGTCATTTTCTCCGAACATTCGTTGAAAGTATTGAAATTCGACAACCTTGTCTTTCGGTTTACAGGAATTGGTCTCAACACGCCGATATAGTCTCCTTACAGAACTGTTTTTGTGGCTGATTGGGTGGCGATCATTCAAGAAAGCGCATAGGTAACCCACTGATGAGTCGAACATATCGAAGATGCGCCATGCAACGGCAGAATATCAGCGAAACACGTGTCTGGGCTTTTACCTAGTATCTGCGCTGCCAAGCATGGCATATCGTATAACCTACTGGCCACCTGTTGGCATTTCCTGAATACTGCACAGTTATTCCGCTGTGGCTGGTATGTTCAGGTCCAAATATACATATAAAATATCACTATGAGACTACAAATCTCAAATAGACCGATTTACTCCAAGTTAGCGATTACTTTTTGGGGAAATTAAAAAGCTGCAGGTCTTATGTTTCCGTCGACTTTTCTCAGGGAATCCTGGAAGTGATGCAGAAAGAGTGACTTACCTACACCCAAACCTGCGGATGGACCCGCACGCAAGGCGTTTTTGCCATACTGAAGCAGATTCGGCTTCCCTGGCACGATCACACAGAAGAGACGTCAGTTTAATGCTTCTCAAACAAACTGCCCCATAGAGGATGTACTGGGTGACAACTGGACGGCTCCGTGAAATGTCTCCGAATCCCCAAAGACCTCATGGATAATTGGTAGATGTGGTGGCCACTTTACGTCAGATCAAGTACAATAACCGTCGTAGTCAGAAGAATATAGAATGCCAGATAATGGGCGAGGACTGGGGTTCGAAAGTATAGACAATTCTTCTTATATGACTTCGAGGTTAACGCAATTGGCCAGAAATTAGCCTGCTAGACTCCATTAAAACAGCAGCCCGAACAAGCCGCGGAGGAATTGCGCGACCCATGATCGTACCGCCGAAACAAATTTAGCATTCGGGTCGGCTACCATGCACTCACCGCACAACATCAAGTACGCCACCACTCATCACAAAAGCACAGTCAACAACAACGTACTAAAGATGATCATAGTCAGATGTGACGGAGAAACTGCGAGCATTTATAAGCTTCCTGAATTGCAAACATAGGAAATATTTTAAATGCGAAAAAGGTGATTTTTTGCATAGGCTCGTAATATACTTAGGGATATTTTCAATGAAGAAAGTACAAAGCATGAAGTAACCAGGTATAAACTCATTTTGTCGGGGCGATGGTTACTTACAAGATATACGTCATTACTCCAATCGCCCACATGTCCGTGGCAAATGTGATCGGATCAAACGTGACAATCTCGGGTGCTATAAAAAGAAAAAAATAACCAATAATTATTGCATGACACAACAAACAGTGTCCAAATTACTAACATGCATCCAAGTCAAAAGGTTTATCTGTCGCACTTTATACCCAAAATGTCAGTTACAATTTGCTTTGAGTTTTTACTCTTGAGGAAGACACGATCGCTGGGACAAGAGCTTTATTCGCCTGACGTTTCGGATTCCTTCTTGAACTCATCATCAAAGACAAAAGCAAATACTCTGTTTTTTAGTGAACGTCCATGTGCTGGCTGCTCACGATGAAACATAGACTTGACTACCGCATTAAACTATTCTAGAACTTCTATTTATCAGTTAAAGTTGTCTGCTCACTAAATCCGACAGAGTGCTGCCGGTTTGGTATGACTAACCGCATGCTATTACAGCAGAGACCTAATGACTGAGTATCGTTAGGGTTGTCGAATTCTTTTATATGCGATTAGACAGCAAGCTCCAATATTAAATAATAAGACTTAATTCAAATCCATGGTCGTGGACATTCGAAAACTAATCGAGGGATCCCTGTGGTTTGAACTACACTTTTATCTTCATTACTGTCATGTTCGTGTACAAATGACCACAGGTCCACATCCTGAGAAATACCATCCGTCCATAACCGATTTGATGAACCCTGTCTTCTGACTACGTCACCCTTCGTCAGGATGACTTAAATCGTTTTCGTTGCCTAAATTTTCGTTTCCGCCGGAGCCGGTTTGTGGTCCCTGACCGCTCACACAGTCTACAGCTGTAAACGACCGTTTTCGGCAATTTATCATGGTGGGTTCAAGCACGTAAGGCAGACGCTTCCAATAGGAGTTCGCCCAAGAGAGTGTTCCAATGCTGCGAAGCAGTTTGGTGCTGGTCAATTACGAAATGCGAAAGCAACCCAGTAAATGGTTGGGGGAAAAATATTTCACGCTCATATGTCCATCAGTGGGAGCAGGACTAGCCCATCAGTTACAGCCAGATGATCTACAGTCAGTAGTCGATCTCATGAAATGGCAACCAAAATTCTAAAACGTTTTTTTGCTTAGGGAGGGTTACATGCGTGAACTTATGGTATTTGTTATCGTGCGGAATGACCTCACACCACGATACCGGTTTCCGAATGCACTTCTGTTCGGTTGCTTGCAAAAACCCCACGCGGTAAATATGACTACATAAGGAGTATAATTTTCTCCAATTAATTTGCGACGCTAATAAAAATTCAAATTTATTTAATTGAAACCACTGTCAAAATATGCTTTTTTGCACTCATTTAGTGTAGATTTTATAGTCGAAGGATGGACATTTTTTCTTTAAAAAATGCTTCAAATTATGAAACTTTCAAAACCTTGAAAAGTCCACTCAACTGGCATTACAGTAGGTGAGCTAAATCATTAAATGTCAACCAAAATTCCGAAATGCGTTTTCGTTTTGAAAAGAATAATTAGGTAGGATTGTAAAACACATCATCGTGCAGCGTCATTCTATAATAATTTTGCTATCCCAGGATGCCTCCTATCGAAATGACTTCTTCCCGGCTTCATGCAACAACCACACTATGTCAAAAATGACTACTTAATAAGCATGCAATTTTCTCATTTATTTTCGATGCCCTTAAAAGCTCAGTTATATTTCATAGAAAACATGCATAAAAATATTCTTTCTTTTGTTCATTCGGTAGAAAATAACGTCTTTTCCCAATTCAATACTCGAAAAAAAGTGTATACATTTGTTTTAAGAAAGTTTCTGATTGTGAGATTTTCTAATGCCATGAAATGGCCGCGCATAAACCCTCATGTCTCTGCCTTTACGAATGTGGCTTGCAAAGTTAGCAATATGGCCCAAATCCACTGCTAAATTTTATGAACCCCATATAGTCTCCTCTTAATATCGTAACTAAATGTATGGTTTTCCGTACGCAGAAAATACGCGGCCTGTAGTTCGCAAACCCTGAATGCAAGTGTAACGGTATAGTGGGTTCAAAATTATTCTGGAATCGGAAACGTTTTGAAAAATGAACGATGTCCTTCGTTCAAGTATGCCGTTGAAAGATGTAATTCCCTACCGAATAACCGGAAAAATGAATATTTTTATACATGCTTTCTACAAAATATAATTGAATTTTTTAGGGCATCGAAAATGCATGCCAATTTAATCGTCATTTTTTATAGAGTGTACTTTTTGCATGCGGCGAGAAAGAAGTTATTTCGATCCTGAGGTATTCTGAGGTAACCAAATTATTATAAAATGACGCTGCATGATGATGGTGTGTATTACAACGCTACTTAATTGACCCTTTCGAAACGAAAACGCATTTCAGAATTTCGGTTGACATTTCATGATTTAGCCCACCTACTGTAATGCCAGTTGAATGGGCTTTTCAAGGTTTATTAAAGTTTCATAATTTGAAATATTTTTATTAGTGTTCCTTGTGAAATACACAAAATAGTCTGTTGTAAAATGCTTGAGCGCTATATTTTATTTTTTTAACGGAATGTAGGACTGTGTGATTCTTCTTGCATGGGAAGCACACAAAGCCTAGACTGCAATACCTCGACGCTAGCCCGGCAGCTCATCGAACTCAACATCCCAGTCTCCCCTATCTTTTCCAGCACGCAGTCTTCTACACATTCGACTTCGCTAACGCTCTCCAGTCTAACTCATCACCATGCCGCCGTCTTGCCTCCTATCGTTTCCAGTCCCCTCCCTCGAGATCGTTTTTTCCGCCTAACTACCCTCTCTAGCAAATTGCATGTTTTGACGAAAACGCCGTTTTTTCTGCATTTGCTTATTAAATATTAAGTAGGTTTTGTGTAAAATGAAGACTACCATTAAGCACTTGGAAATCACTTCACCTCTTCACGGTCAGTGTCTGCTAGCTAAAAGCCACTGTACGTCCGATTACATTCCCGAGCAGCACTTGAAAAATATCTCTCCTTAAATAAGAAGAAAAACGCTTATAATATGATCCACTAGGTCAGAAAATTTCCGCAGGGTACTGAAATAAATGAGGCAACGAAAAATTGCGCTCTTCGTTTAACAAAGAGAAGAAAGTCACTGCATGACAACGTGGCGAGACGTGGTCCGGGACAAGTCAAGATAAATCTGTTAGGATCGGCGCGGCACGCCCACGCACGCAACCCAGCCAATCGCTGCGTCCCAGACCTTTTGCAGGCATAATATGGCCCGCGTCGGGTCCGATGCATGCAGGTGTTTGGCATGCCTAAAAAACAGGCTTTGAATTAGGCGGTAGAGCTGGCGAACAGACCTCCAACTCTTTACAGCCAGACGATCAGTACCTCTTGACCGAAACCTTGGTCCTTCCTTTCCTGGAAATTCTTCACTCAAATATGAGCACGATCAGTTAAATTGTCGAATGTTGTAGGTTAAAAATCGGAGGCGTATTTACACGGATATTGGTGGAAGGAATTGCCTCCATTCGCTACATTGTTTACTGTTACGTACAACCAAAAGGGTGGGCAAAACAGGCAGCTTCAGAATAGCGTTTCTGTCAAGGTATGGAGTTACAGGTGACTCAGATTTCGCCATAGCCACGGTAACGCTTGCTTCTCGGGCCTATATCATCGCATCCTCTTTGAAGCAGTCATTCCCCAGATTTCCACCACGACGTCGCCTACCCCCCTGCAAGTAGCAGACGCTGCCTGCGTGTACATCTGCACACCTTTGCCACCAACCAGAGAAGTCCACCAACGGGTTCTTCACTGGCTTTTATGACAACCGGTCAGCGGATGGTCAGCTGTGCGTGGTTCTCAAAAGTTGAAGCCAAATGTCCACTTATCTTGTACCTGACAACAGTTCTGAGGCCGTGCTGTCAAGTATGCACAAGCGCTTTCAGTTGACGCATGGTGTTCTGAGATTGGCCACACAGGCAATATAACCCAAAGAAGTCTCCTGCCAAAGACTTCACCCGATGGTAGTTTAGTAATTTATGGCCAGGTTACGATGTTGCCAACGCCTATCTGGCAAATACCAACATCCGCTGACATGTTAAAGACCCCGCACTTGCTTCAGGTAGTTGAAGGAAGTTCATGTAGCACACAGTTGGACTTTTTCCTAGTTGGAAAGAGGATGACGTACTTTTCAGTCTAGATAAGCAATTACTCTTTGCTAGCTTTGACGGCAGACGGATATTTGGTTGGCCTTGGTAATCATCAATTTAAACACTTACACATGCATTTCGAGCTGAGTCCTAAATTTATTTTTCCCTATGCCTTTCTAAAAATCGGTTCACTAATTTTCTTCCGCAAAAATTGGTTAGAAGTCTTGCAGACGTTTTAACCAGCCCTTAGTCAGAGCCCTTACTTTTGGCCTCAAGAGGTCCTTTGATTAAGGAAATCGGAGCGCATCTTATCAATCGTTATTTGCGCCAATTTAGCTGACATTACCCGAATGGGTGTTAGCAGATTAAACTCGTCAAAATAAAACTGCAGAAGAAACAATCAGATGGTCTTTCGTGTGCATACTGAAGTTTACTAAAAGACGCCAGAAGAGAGAATGCTGTCATCGAACAAGAGCAGGTCACAGAGCATGCCCAAAGATCATGCAGCCGCCCTTAGCGAGCATCCTGTCAAATCAGTAAATTAGTGCAGAAGCCGTCGTACAGGCACATCCTTATCACTGTAGAGAACGCTATCAAGGTGCCGCAGATAGTGGTCATTTTCCAGAAAGCTAAACCCAATAGGAAGTCTATATACAGCCCAAATGGTAGATGTTCAAAGTGCGATCATCATCAGGGTATCCGCGACCCCGCGGTCACAAGCCAACGTCGGAGATCATTCAACCAGTGCCAGTTCGATCAGCCCCGTGTGCGTGCTTTTGGACGCCAACAGCACTAGTTTGGCCTTCTGCGAATTCCCCTCCTCCTTCCCTCCTCTGATTCGGCACGGAGGCCAGTAGATGACCTTGCGGGGACAGAGTGGGACTAGACCCGATCAGACAGTCACAGGGCAAGCCATCGATCATCTTGCAGTGTCAATGCAGATGTGTGGAAGCACGCGCACGCCCTACTTGCACCTAACTAGCTTGCCTGTGCGTGGCTGGTCAGAAACACATACGCATGGTACGCCTATGCACATCCTATCGCACTCAGAGCGCCGGTCTGTCAGCTACGACGCTCGATGGACATTACACGGCAGTCTTGGAACTGACAACGCACACCAGCGCATGATAAGTGAATAGAGGGAGAAGAGGAGTAGAAGGAGGACGAGGAGGAGGAGGAGGAGGAGGAGGAGGACGAGGAGGCGGAGGACGAGGACGAGGACGAGGAGGACGAGGGCGAGGAGGAATTGTACTCTCTACTTAGATAGTGTTTGTACTCTCCTCGACTTTTGGTGCCGATGAAAGAGGGCTGTTCTCTCTGGAGTCGTGCACAGAGACCTACTCGTCTTCCAGAAGTCAATCGGAGCTGCATCTGGTGGGAGGTACGCCACACGCGGGGCCACAAAGTGACTGAACATAAAAGAACAGAGTGGACCAGCACGGGCGGGAGGACTGAGGAACTTAATCATGCCATAATTACTCAGCCGATCATCCTTGACCGGAAACAGACATGCGCACAGATACTATACAGACTAGGTCTAAATGATGGATCAGCGGAGCTTCTTCCACAGCGGAACCCGACAAAGAAACGACCATGATCAAAACTCTGTAACATCGAGGCGTAGAAATTCCTGAAGTTACCCCTGGCCAGTTACGTGGAATATATATCGTGAAAACCAGATTCCCAACACAAAAAAAACGCTTTTCTATTCCCCCAAGGTCGCACCTTCTATTTTTTAACCATTCATGAAGGCGGAAGCCCCTTATGAAGCCGAGGGGGGTTGAGCGAATTTTACGCGATTCTCCAAGCGTTTCTACACTAAAGCATGGATTCCGGGTGGTCTCACTGAAATCATGGAAAAAGAAGACAAACAACAACGTCGATCTTAAAAAATGAATATGGTTCTGCGAGCAATAAAAACCAACACACTGTCGGAGAGGTGCTGCCGCGTAATTTGGCAATAGCGCAGCAACAATACTAACATGAAAGCCAAGGAATGTATTAGATTGGCAAAAAACCGCTGTGAAGTGCGAATATTCTCAGAATATGCAAAGATTCCTCTTACAGAGCAGTGCCTTCACATGATGCGAATAGCCTGGCAAAACATCGGGCCTATTTCACCAGTTGAAGGGCCATTCTGTTTACATGTGTTCGCAAGATGTGGGCGCCGGAAGAGGACCACCCTGCTGGCGACGAGGGCAAAAAATTACATTTAATTTAAATTAACCGAATCCACATAGAGGAGAGTCTTCACAGTAGTACTTTTGGGTCAAGAATCGGTAGCCAAACCCAACAAACGACATTTATTTGGAAGTCACGCAAGTATTGCGGTGACTACGCTGAACCAACGCAACTTGAGCAAGTGGGCGACAGGAAACATCGGTCGCAAAGCGAAGACGAACTCAGAGCCCCACAAATCTAGAATTTCGGTCAGCTGGCGAACTGAAATTGAAATACCCCCCGCCTTATGACGCGTATGTTTATGCACTGGGATCAAATACTGATTACGGAATGACTTTTTATCTCGTCTGACGACGGGTTGAAGTTACCGATTCGAAAATTCACCAACACAACCCGGTTTTTTCAGTCTCGCAATGCACGCTACCACAATTATTCAACACACTGTTCCGTTTGACCAAAGGCTGTCTGGGTACGCATGTAGACGGCCTAGTAAACTGTCTCCTTTGTTGGTTCAAAAATATCCAGTAGACAAACTTTCTAGCAGTTTTATCATCTGATGGTGTAGATTTTAATTTTATGCATTTAGTACGTGGGTTACAAAAAGGCAAAAAAGCACAGTTGGTTTGACTCCAGTCGTCTGCTCTAGCGAGAAACGGACATTGGCTAGACATCTGAACCAGGCTTCAACCGAAATCACCCTATCAGTCGCAAGCATAATTGCATAATTGCACTCTATCGCCGCGTTGAAGCGTAATGCAGTAAATCGGAGGACAATGCTTTCGAATTACGATGTCCTCGACGTGTTCTCAGACCAAATACTGTGCGCGCAACATCTCCAACCAGAGCACGCACAAACAAGACGAGAAACCATACGGCGGCGACCCGAAATACTGGAGAGTGCTCCCGTACATCAACAACGTTTCAGAAGCCGTCGGCCGTCTTCTCGCGTCACTTAAAGTTGAAATTGCATACAGACCGAAGGCAGTCATGTGGTGCTAAGTAGTGAGAGCGAAAGACTCGCAGGAGACATAAGGCGTTGTTTGCCGGATCTGATATGGTTGTGGACGAAAGAAATACACAGAGGAACGGGAAGATTACTCCAGATGCGGGGGTCAAGCACTTGCCGACAGTGGGGAGGAACAGCGTCAACTGTTAAGTAACGGCACACTCAATAGTACCGTTAGGTTAAAGGATGTCAAAATTCGGAAAAACGCATATTCGTGGCACGACTGAATTATGCTGCATGATGACCGATAAAACAAGCCCACCTGAATAATACCTTCCAATCGAAAACACAGTTCTGGATTTTAACTAACATTACCTGAGATACCTCATCCCCACAGGTATTTAACGAAAATGACTGAGTGGGTAGAGGCTAGAACAACATCATTCCACGGTTGCTTTTGACGGCATATGAGCAGGAAAATAGTTGGTAAGATGCAGTTTGGTAGCCCCACCTGATGGACACAAGACTGTTGGAGTTAGGGTGAGGGGTTAGGCGTTTTGGTTAGGGTCAGCGGTTGGGGTTTAGCATAAGGGGCTGTAGTTAAGGTTTGTGGTTAGGGTTAGGGGTTAGCGCAACTATTTCTCAACCACTGAAAGTACAACCACGTACTCCCAGCAGCTTTTCTTTTGCATATAACTACTTGACCTCGTCATCTGTGCGTTTCCCGGCTCCACCTGTAAAGACCCCCTATTACCACCGGTCCCGTATTAGAGGTGACTGGGGTTTGTTTATTTCAGGTAGGGCTGCCAAACCACATCCGACCAAATAGTTTATTCAAGGCCTGATCGAAAATTCCTCGGTCACGACCTGGACGTACTTTGCGGAGTCGACATCACAAGTTTGTGTACAAAGCTGGGCCTTCGTATTAGTGCACCCCAACTTTCCTTCTCTAAAATTTGGTCTGCAACTTCATTGGATAAGATACTGTTGTGACAAGAACATAGACAAGTATGGGGAATAATCGCGGAGCAATTCGCATGCGTATGCAGTGCTGAATTTCGATTAAAGTCTTCCCATGCACCTGTGTCGTGCTCGTTCTCCAAAAAATTGTCATTTGAATATTTTTCTAAAATGTAATGACTTTCGGTATGCAGATAAGTAGATTACTTTGCCAAAAATTATTTATGACAATTTTTTGAAGAACGACATCATCTTAACACGTAGAGGGCTTTATATTTGGCCCTGAATACGGACATTAAAAACATCCAAATCTTTACCTGAATTCACCTGTAGATTAGTGTTTGTGGTCCCAAATTTATGGGGAAAAATGCCACTTATTGCGGACGCATTTATTTTTAGTGTTGAAAATCTTCTGCTAAGCAAGCTGTGGCTAAATGCCAAGTTCTGTGCCAGAAAGATGTGAACTGTGGATATTTAACTAACAAGATATTCCTTACTTCCAAATGTTAGACGATTTTCCTGTTAGTTTTTATAGAAGAAGCTTGTGGCGTTATACAGGCAAGTACTAGCGCTGTTAAAACGTATTGGTTTGTGTGGTTATGCGTTTAATTATTGCAGTCAGAAATAACCGATGGAGTCTCCAAAGAAACGTCAGAATGCGATGGTGCATGCATTAGCGTTAGACTAGGTTCTACATGTTTCGGCACTACCACAACTTAAAAAATGCATCTGAGTGTTATGCCGAAGTTGCGGCCAGTGGAACATATCACACACCGCACAGAGTAAAACAGGAAACACTCCGTTACCAGTCAGCCTCGGTAAGTCTAACCTCTCCATAGGCTACCACATGCTACAGCCCAAATGGAGTGTGCTTTTCATAACTTTGGGACTTTCCAGTTGCACACAGTGCGCGTTTACAGGCTTTTGTTACCTTTTTTGTCGGGCGTCGACAAATAAGGTTGCAGGGAAGATCACAAGCTACAAATGGCCATCACATTCTTTTTCTCACTCCTTCGTCTCCACTGGGCTAGCTTCGATCCCTATTTTTTCACATCAACAAGTGTTAACCTCACCACTGGGGGACAAGTGACACGAATTCCCTGGCTGCGTGAAATAGCGGAACTACACACGCGGAGCGATGGTCGGCAACTGCGAAACAGTTCATGAGAATCCCACAGGCAGGAACGATTGCCCACAGTGGAGTGAAATTTCAGGGAAAATCAGTATTGTTCGGTGATTAGGACTGGAGCGGGCAGTGATCATTCCGTCGCCGTGTGCTCAGAAGGAATCGCCGTGAAAACATATATGTTTAGTTTTTGGCAGATGTGCAAAGTCATAATGCAGATTCTGAGTGTCTCCAGTTGACATTCTATCAACGCAAGCCGTGCTACAAACATTTTTGAGCCCAAAGAGGCCGACACCACTGTGAGCAACTGTAAACTCCTTTGACACAGCAACATCAAATCGCCTTATAAAAACGAAATCATTGAAAATGCATCAGAATTGGAAGGCCCTGTGGTTTTGACAGATTCAACCCATTCCTTCAGCTTGTGGCATCTTACTAGGGGTTTTTTGAGACATCTTACCGATCTATTCACAAGCGAGAACTTTAAACCTTTGCAAAGATTAGGAAGCCGTTCTCTGAGCTCTACCAGACCAGAAGAAGAATAATGATTTGAAATTCAAACACTGAGTAAATAATTTATTAATGCAGAGAATCGTACGGTTGTGAATCCAAAGAAAAATACCTATCAGAGTGGCTGCTTTTCAAGATTAAATTATGATAACCTGCTAGTAACACGATGCAGCTGTACGCTGTCCAAATTTTTATATCACGGTCACTCGTCAACGTCCAATTAAATTCCCCTAAATGTTGTTTCGGACCATCACGCACCCAAGGCGGGGCCTTCAACCAGCAGAAAAGCCATCATTGACCGTTGATTGAAGGACCTCACTTTCGCTGAAAGGAGTAAGTATACCTATGAAGGATTTCAAGGTTAATAATCCTGAGCGTAGTGTAATAGAGAGGGAGTTCCAGCGATATGATTTGTCACTGAGTTGTGAATTCGGCCCATTCTTATGGGTACGTATCTGGATAGTCACAAAGACTAAAAATTACTACCAGCGTTTTTAGTTCTGCACACCCCATGCGTAACATCATTCCAAAAGTCCCTGCACAGGGCCGTCATTCCCGCTGAAATTCCACGTCAATATGACGTCAAAAAGGGCATTATTTACAACATTCTTAGTTAAAACAGGATCCTGCATCCTGGGACTGGGGTTTAGCTGGCTGGCGATGGCCAAAGACAGTTGTAGCCCATGCAGTCAGTCTTACTGCTATCGGCCAAACATCCTTATTTAAAAGAACTAGTTCTTAGAGGTTGTATAGAACATATATAACACACACACACACAATAGGAAGGCGTTTGCTGCAAGTCAGGCCGAACATCCGACTATGCAAATTTGGGGCTGAGGCTATATCTAGGAGCTATAAGGGCCGCAGCTGTCAACCCCGAAATTGCTATCATTTTAAATCCCCGTAGCAAACTCACTTTAGGCTGAATGAAGTTTCTATTCGGATGATATGGCAAGAAATTCAAATTGACATCGGAAATGCGCTTCAGACATCCGGTTGTTCCCTCTTTCCATAACCTGCTCAAGTGGATATTTTCTCTAGTACACTTACGGACTCGGCGCAAAGTCTAACAACTTACAAGTTGTTTCCGGCCTTGATGCACTGTATTTTTAAAGATCTCTGCGCTCCCTTGCAAGTGGCTCAGCACCCTGGAATCTCATGCTCTGCAGGCTCTTAGTTTTCCGCACACCTAGTTGAACAGTCCTATGGAGAAGAGAGGTATTTGCCTTTGCACATTCGTCCAAGTTCAGAAAATTGACCCAGTTACGTGGAACTGTAGGTTTTCCAAGACCTAAAGCTACTCCTTACGACTCCGACGAAAAATTGGTTACTCACTCACTATGCATATGATAGTGGGGTCGGCATTCCAACAAAGAAGGCTGAAGCAGCTTACGTATTTTATTGCATTTGGAGGTTGAACTACTCGTCGACTTACAAAACGGCCAAATAAAATTCCATCAATTAGTTTATTATTGGATAAGTAGAAAGCATGACGTGGATCTATTCTCTCTCGCCTTCCTTTCTTGATACATCGTATGGGCAATTACCCGGAAAAGTGGACTAACCTCATCCATCTTCTGAGGGGGAAAACTGCACTCTAGAGGGCTTCCTTGTATTATGAGGCGGAGAGACCGTACTACAAACGGCTCACGTAATTCATAGATATTCTGGCAGAATAACGTGAGCCTAGTAGTCATCTGGTGGATTCTAGGTGAATTACCTAGGAAGCCCTGCTTGGGCAGTCAACTTACTGTATCAGATTTGGTAGATTCCAGACGTCGCAGTAGGTTGGGCCGGTAACGTGACACAAATGTGATTAAACTCGCGTCGTCCGGCGGGGCCTCGTAGCTCAAGTGGTTAGAGCGTTGGCTGTACTAAAGCCTTCCCCTTACTGCGTGGTTTCGCATCCCCCGAGGCGCCGAGTTTTTCACAGTTTGGTCAGCATGAATAAAAAGAATTCCCAAGCTTACATTTTCAAATCTAGGTGGATTACGTGGAGAGATAATGAGAGAGAGAGAGGGGTGACCAGTTCTAGTCGTACAGATATGCCGGTTGCCAGTACAAGCAGGAAGGCGGTTGAGGATCACTGGAACACCGGGTCCCACATCGACAGTTTAACCGTCTTTACCAACGATGTCCACCGTGTGCACCACAGTAAAATGTGGGCATGCAGGTGAATTAGTTAATAGTGATGGTAGACTTTCGCTGCATCTACCGCACCCACCCCTCCTCTCGCCCACCTGAGCCTGATGTCAAGATGGGGTCAAGAAGACCAGAGGTGCGATCGGGCACACTCTCATTAATTTGAGGCACGATGCCAGGACCTCACACTAATGAGAATGCCACAACAACAGCAACAACAGTGAGAGGCACACATGGTAACCTGGACAACAGTCCCGCGTAGGCAACATTCTAAATCTCCATTGTTCCTTTTCATGATCGTTGAAAAGTGTGTTTGGTACATGGTAAGAAGGAAACTAGGCGTTGGATCGACCTCACTCTCCCTATTCTCTCTTTCATGTACCAGTGAGCAGTCCAGGTCAAGTCGACGAGGACGAAACAGGATCGCTGAAACAGGAATTTTGTTTATCTGACTTTTCTCATCCATCCCCACAGACAGCTAAAAATAAGGAAGGCTGTCTCCGAGAATGGCCTCGAGCGAGAAGAGGAGACATGGATGTCAGCAACTCTACTGCGTGCAATGAACATGGGAGCCGATAATCTTGACCGGTATGCGGAAGCATAGCAACTGCATGGCAACGGTATACTTCAGCACCTGGGCAGTCAGGCTGTGATGCACTCGGGAGCTGCCAACTGCGATAGGCATGTAGCGGCCTAGCAACTACATCCTATAAATACTGCAACACCTGGGCAATTTACCACTCCTATCTGACTCTGTCTGTGATGATGGATTCGAGTAAGAATCCGAAACGGCAGGCTAATGGAGCTCTTGTTCTGGCGACCGTGTTTACTTCTTCGTGAAGACGTGCCTTTTGTTCCTGCCGTGAGCCGTCGGGCTTTTGACCGCCTCCTGACAACTGTTCCACAATCAAAACCAGTCTATTTTGATCTGTTGTTAAGATGCAGTCGGTAAATACTTCAGAAGTGACAGTTTCCTTTCCCTAATGCCACATTTGTTGATCACTTTATAACGCGGGTTGTGTATTTCCTCGAGACGTCAGGTCAACATTCACAGGCGAAAAAATTGCTGTCCGCCGCACAAAAAGTTTACGTCGATGAGTTGTTTGACACACTAGCACTCCACTTTTCTCGAATATTAATTTAGGCTTTACCGAGCAATTAATGAGCTTAGATTTAACTTATGAATAATGGAATCTATAGCACGACAAGTCCATTGCACATCCAAGTAGAAATTCCTAAAAGACAAAGGTGTTATTTATGAACGGTCCAGTAATTGCGATGGTCAACGCACGTGGTTCAAGGCACACGTGCCGTGGTAGCTGTATGACGCTGCTTAAGGACGAATCAGACAAGGGAAAAAATAGGGGGTGGGAAGTAGGCATGGTCAGTGGCAGTCACCCGTTTATACTGCCTGGTGAGTCACAGAAGTGCCCACAATTATTATCATCATGAGACATCATCGCGGGCGGCTGACGCAGGACCATGTCGCTTGGGGGCAGTCACGTCACCCTATCCTGGACGCATGCATTTGGGGAGGTCTGACAGTAAACCTGTGTGGGTTATCGTGAGCAACGCTAGTAGCTGCCTCCTACATGCAGGCGAAACTTCCCACGTGGCATTTGTAATGACACTCAGTTGGACAGTACTCTCGCCTATATATTTCAAACCGTAGTCAGTGCAACTGCCACAGACTGTGGGTACCCAAGTGTCGTCTAGTACTTGGCAATGAAGCAAATTTACCAGGCCTTCTCTCATCTTGAGACTTCCGAGTAAATAATTAAAACAGTCGCCTGTCCCAAAACCCAATCTTCTCGCGAGGTCTCAGCTGCCAACCCCACAGATTCATTTCAGCTCCCCCCAAAAGTATTTCCAAATTTTCATGCTTTTTTTCGCGTCCTTGGTAGATACTTGAACTGTACTTTTATCCTATGTGGTTCACAGGTGCTGCCTCTGCGGTGACCTCTCGTGACCACTACACAGTTATGGGGGCATGCCGGCAGGTGTCCTCGTATAGGGTCTTAGTAGGGTGACTACAAGCTGATGTCTGTTTCCCGACCTTAAAACCTTTCAACAAGTACCAGAGAGGGAGAACCGACCGGCGGACTGTCCTCTTTGACCCATTTTGGTTTTTGCTTGGGTTATGAAACCGCGCCCACCAAACGGCAAATTACAGTAGACATTTCAGGCATTCTAGCATGAAGAAGTCAGACGGGAAACGATCAAAGTCATACGATATTGCACGTCGAGAGAGGAGGAGACATCCAAAGCCGTGCACAGTTATTCTGTATATTCCAAAGTAGCCGCATAAGGGCGTTACCGTGTCAGATTGGCCATCCATGGCTTTTGACTTCCCACGGGATGCTATTCCGATGGACGAAGTTAGCCAACAGTCTGCGAATCCAAATGTCATATCACTGTTGCCTCAGTGCCTGAAGAGGGCGTGCTCATCTGAGCTCCCATAAAAAACAATGTTCGATAGCAGCAAGTCTCCTAAACATATTTTAAAGTCCAGAGGGCGTGGAGCAAGGGCGGTGTGTTTTAATGCCCAGCAAACTCCGGACGCGTGGCTGGCAGAAACCGTAGCGTGGCCTGAAATTAAATTTCGTTGACATTCAGTCGCGCCCTTTTACGTAGCCACGGCAACTGTTGTTGGGGCATGCTTTAATACAGCCTCCGTAGCAGCTGTTGAAGATAGTGCACGTCAGTGCAAACCACTTAACACACTATCTTCCGGAATCCCCATGAACCACTTTGTGGAAAAAGGTTCTGCCTTCTTTTGCCTGTAAGTTTGAAGCGATACTGTCGATGCTGTTGTATAGTTAGTAAGCACAAGCGTAGGCGGTTTTAGTCCACATATGATAACAGACAACCAGAGACAAAAATGCTGCGGAACCTTCGAATGCGGTTATGCAGTTCGGATGATCTAACTTTCGAAGATCAGGAGGTCGAACGATAGAGAAAAAAATATGTGCACAGGCAGGTACAACTTTCAAAAACTGGAATATTGAAATGAATGTTGCCAGAACACTTTTCACCCAGACAGTCCTACCCCAGCACGGAGTCCAGCTGAAACAACTGTGTTGAAGAAGGAGACACGATCGCCGGGACAAGAGCTTTATTAGCCTGACGTTTCGGACTCCTACTCGAATCCATCATCAGAGACATAAGCAGATAAGGGTGGTTCATGCACATATGGCTGCAGTATTTATAGGCTCCCCCCTTCATCCGGAATTGTCGCACTTGGTGTGATCATTGCTTGATGGCCGACATTCGAGTCGATAATTGCTACAATTTCATCACGTGCGTTGGACGTTTGCGTGATGATTGCTCGACCATCTGACGCACCGACCCCGGTGTTGGGAAAAGTGTTCACCTCTGCCCTCCCCGAATGGCTTGTTACTCCGCCTAGGCGAAGTTTTAGCACGGAGTATGGAGTCGGAAGATCGTCGCACTTATTGATGGACTGGGGGCCAGTAAACCATGATTCCGACTCGAATGTGGGCCATCAAGCAATGATCGCACCAAGTGCGACGATGCCGGATGAAGGGGGGAGCCGTGAATGTTCATAGGTATGCGGTAGCATGGCTACTGCATCCTATAAATACCGCAGCCCCTTGTGCAACAACCACCCGTCTCTGCTTCTGTGTCTCTGATGATGGATTCGAGTAGGAATCCGAAACGCCAGGCTAATAAAGCTCTTGTCCCGGCGATCGTGTCTCCTTCTTCAAGACTACTTCCTGGGACTCGTCTCTTCGCTTCTATTGAAACAACTGTGCTTGTGCTAAAAACCCGCCTTCGCTGACTTTGTGAAGTCAAGACATTCGGAAAACTTTAAAACCTAGTTATTGTAAATACCGCAGTGATAAATGTTTCAGTAGGCTTTATTCATTTTGATGTAGTCAGTTATAGAGGCATAACCAACTGCAGGGAAAGATGCATAAAAGATTTAGCAGACCACATAATTAAAGCGCCCTGGATTTAAGAAAAGTTGAAATGACCTTTTCAATTTCCCCAGAAGTTAATGTGCGAGCTTGGAGCAAATCCATTGGAAGAAACCCTTTTTTGGCTCTGCCTGGAAAGTATGGTGAATCATTCATTAACAGTAAAGTTCCTTTTCCTGGAAAAAAAACTTCAGGGAAAAGTACATAAAAATCCTTTTAGTCCTAAAATTGTGCCCCAGCTAAATTCCCGCTGTCACTTTTCAAGCATCAAGCTTTTCTTTTAGTGGACGAGCAAAGGTACGCAGGCCTTCTGATTGGCTGAACTAACTACGTGCATCGCGTCGAATTTTAAGCTAAATCCAACCATTGCACACTTGCAGTGAAAGATATTCTCAGTCCTTAAAAATCATGGCATATAGTAACTAACGCCTCCTGTTTCATTATCCGATGGAGCTTGTAAATCTATAAACGCTAAAAGCTAAGCAAAGCCTCATATTTGCTCTGCTAGCTAAAGGCAGAATATCTGAACTCCCGGTCGGACCTCTCTCAGTACTATAGATAACTTTGCGCTTAATTCCAGGGAGTGGGGGGTACCTAGTCCTGCGTTCTAACGCCAACCACTCCTGGACTGTAGCGCAAGACCACCTGCCTCACAGAAACCCCTTCGCCAATGAACCATGCATTTCAAATTCATGCAAAAATCTGAAAATAGTGGTGAACAAACCACAAAATTCGGGAGTTCCCGCCATGTCTTGTAGAGTCTCATTGGCAGTTAGTTGCCTTGCCAAACCGAAATCAATTATTTTGATCCTTTTTGTCTCCATATCTTCGATCATAATGTTCTCCGGCTGGAAGGATAAAGGAAGGGAAGGGGTGTTGTTTTAGAGGACGGCACAAAATGGAGGGGAAGACATGCGAAAGGTGGCCTTTCTTGCCGAAAGCACTTGAGTAGCACGAATGCTTACAAATGGCCTAGTAACCGCGAGTGCGACGGCTAACGATGAGGTTAACATTTCACAGAAGGACCTTTCACCACCCAAAGTTTGAATAGCTGAAACGATAAAGTAGCAAGGCATGACTTCGGTGGACGCTGACGGAGCATGTACGGCAGTTCGGCGGTCTTAATGTGCTCTAGAGTGCGGATGAGGATGAATAGACGTCTACCATGTTCCCCTTCCCCCTTCCCGGCGTTTCAGTGAAAATAGTACGGACGTGGGTTTTTTGACGCATAGGGAGGGGGAAGTTACGGGTAAAGTAGGCGTATGCACAGCGAGGCTTCGGAAGAGCCAGTCGTGCCTCCACATGCGGGCAGTCACCCCTAGAGTGCTGCAAGTCGCAGTGCGGCCATAAAATAGTTCTGCGAAGTGAAATATGCAAATTTAAATATAAAGGTGGAAACTGTATCGAAAGGGCATGAGACTTTTCGCCAGAGCGAAGCAGAAGACGCACAGAACACTTTTTACCAGCTTCTCAGACGCAAAGCGCCACAAGAAGTCCCACGCAACCACATCGAAGGGGTATTAGCGAGCCTTGCAAATTCAAACGGAGCTAACGATGTGAGCATTGAAATTAACAACTCATATTAAAAAATATGGGCTACGTTTGGTTCTGCAGCCCCACTTCATTGATACCATATGGTTAGCTTCCTAGACCAATTTTAGTATGCCTAATTTACCCACCCGCTGGATTAGGAAGGGAAAGAGATCGTAAGCATAGCTCGAAGCACGCGCAGGGAAGCGCGTGAAGGTGGCGTGTACACACTTCCCCCGCGACAGAGTCACTTGCTGGATTAGTAGGATAAGGAGGGTGCAACCACAACTGGAAGGCCACGGAGGGAACCGCGTGGCAATGCGCGGTGTATGGCCATTGTAACTGAACCGGTGGAGTTCCAATCCATTCAAACAATTTCATTAAGAAGCCCACTTAGTCACTCGCTGGACTGGTGTACTAAAGAGGGCGCAAGTGGGGCTCGAAGCACGCGCAGAGAAGCACGTGTGAACTGATGTCTGATGTAAACGAGGATGGCATATAAGCACTCCTCTCCCCGTGGCCCAGTCACTCGCTGGATTAAAGTGGTGAGGAAGGTGCAAACACGTGATGTTTATAAAGTCAGCGTACTCGCACCTACTAAAAATTTTTTGGAAGCTGACCAGATGGCATCAACGAAGTGAGGTTGCAGAACCAAACCTTGCCAAAAAATAATTTATGATGAATCGGGCCAAGGACAACGAACCACAGTTCTACCTTTCCTTGTTAACAGAAAATGGCCCCATCCGACGGGCAGTATTTCACAGGACAAGGTAAAATGCAATGTTTTTTTAAACTTTTAAGCCAATTGCTCGGAAGTGAAACCGAGCTTTAGGCGCCTTAGGAGATAAGGGAAATTTATACTCGACTTGCTCGGTTACCTTCCAGAAAAAACAACAATATGTGGCGAAATAGGTTGACTCTCTGAGACCCCATTAAAATTCGTTTTCAGTTTAAAGGTGACCGGGTCTCACATGCTACCAAGTAACGCGCACTTTGTGTTATTGAGAGAGCCTACAACGCCATCTGCCCCACAGTGGCCGCTAACAAAGAAACTATCTGTAGCTAAACGGTTGCAGATGTTTCGTCGGTGCATGTTCCCTAAAGCTCAGTCTGTGGAGACGACGATATTTTGGGAATTGAAATGAAATTAACAGCCAGGCCAGCTGCGCACAGGCCAGAATGATTTCACAAATTCCAAAATAAAATCCTCCATTTCTTCACTCTACAAATTTTCTTGGCATGCAAACACTGCTGAACTCAAATTAGCCTTTTGATCTCCTCTTGACGCCTGTATAACTGAGACCCTGAGTCAAATAAAATTAATAGACATTACGAGGGGGAAATATTAGATGTAAAAATAGTCGCCTCACACATTGGATTGCGGTGCGGAAGTATTTAATCTGTTCGTTCGTGACAAATTCTTCACCATCCACTTTCCTATTTGTATTTTGTTTGCATGCTGTGTAGCCTTCAAACTTGTTTATTATGTTACTTGCATGTCAGACTTCAAACACCATGTTCCCGTCACCTAATATCCACGTGGTGGTTTGATGGTTATAAATCGAAAACGTGCCACGTAATTCGGCCTTTCCATGGATGAAAGTCACCGAAAATCTTCACAAGTAGCCGAGAACGGGCCGATAAACTGCGAGGGTATGAATCCACCTTAGTAGTATGATTACGTTTTCAACCAAATGCGGACGACCTATGTCAGCTATTTTCAAGACAATCTGAAAAGCATAGCGATGACGTAGGAGATTTGCCAAAAATTAAATCCCACAATAACATCGGCCGAGATTTATCCTAGTTTAGTCAAGTCAACTCAGACTGCTGATAATTTTTGCCGTTTTAACTGAATTTAGCGAAGACATGCCGGATCGGTGATTCAAATACATGCCTTAAACGAGTCAGATGCAAAGGGATTCAGTTTAAAATGAAGGGGTTCTTGGTGCTTCAGTGAGCTGCTGCAGACGAGACCTGGGTTGTCCACAATTTCTGCTTCGTTCTCTGCTGCACAGCAAGACATTTTTAATTAGGACGTATAGCTATTTAACTGGGATCCGCACGGCATCTGTCAAATTTTCTTCGTCTTCTAGTCAATCAAATCTCACTATAAGTATCTGAGCATACCCCGAAATTCAGACGAATAGTTACCAGAACGTCAGTTCAACTCTACACCCGAAGACACCTCGATTTGTTTAAGTGAGCTGATGCCCTGCCACTTTCAGGCTAAAATGCGTGAATTTTAAGAAATTCTTTTAGATGCCTAAAAAAGGCTTGCACAGGCTGCGTTTTGGTTGGCTCCCTATGTCTCCAAGAGCGCGCAGAAAATAATGAAAAATTGACCTCATTTTACAGACATGTCTTCATATGGAAAAGATTTCTCAAGTCAGAGTGCAGGACTGATTAGCAGGAATTAATATCTCAATACAACTCGTCGTTTTAACAAGACAACCCTAGCTAAGACTTCGTTCCAGAGGAAAAACGTTAATTATGCTGTGTGAGGTCGAGTTTTCTTCTTAGTGGCTTCGTGATACTGGCCTTTTGCCTGCATCGAGACCCGTTCCACATTTGTTTTATGTTTGAAAACAGATTAAAAATATCACTACCTAGACTTACATTTCCGGAACTCAAAGTATTTTTAAAACTGAACGCCAGAGAATAGAGGGTTTTGCTTCCGAAACCGTTTGCTGTTTTTCGGATTTGGTACACTCGCACTTTTATTCATTTTGATTGAAGTACACAGGTTTCCCGGCAATACTTGAAAATTACGCAAGTCTGCTCTACATTTCTGCAATATTTTATGAAAATCTAGTGAATCCCTTCATAGGGCAGATACATATAATGTGGCGTCAAAATCACCAGAGCAGGCGAAAACAGTGTCTTTACGTCAAAATGCACAAGACCTAGGTATATTTTTGCATCACAATACTCGCCTCCCTAAACATCGCACCTGGGGATGAGGTCTTTCCACAAAATCAGCAAGGGGAATGACTTCGTCTACATCATTTCTGTAGAGAGATAAGTGATAGTTCTGCCGTCGATTTCTGCGATGTCCAGTGTGTGTTCCACAGCAGCTTGAGAGCAGGGACGCTGACTTGCGCGTAAATTAGTTTATAGTGAGAATAGACTTGCGCAGCATCTACCGCACCATCTCCCTCTCCCCGCCTGGATCCGGTGTTAAGACAGAGTCACGAAGACCGGAGGGGGGGAGAGATCGCAGGTGGCTGGCGTGGCGAGAATCCGTAGCTGGGCGTACTACCACAGCCCCTGGTTAACAGCATATACTGACCAGGAGTTTATACACCAGGGAAATGGCTCGGATCCCGAATGATGCGAGGTTGGCCGGCATCTGGTCCTGTCGCCATGGTCAAATGCTGGTATTTGTTATGGATGCGCACTTTCTCTATGATGCCTGCCGAACTCCAGCCTGGATCCTGTGCTAGTCCGGCGTATTCACCGCGCAGCCCGTTTAGGGGCATAAGAGGGATAAGAACTCACTAAAGTAAAAGCGCCGGACTGGTCATATCCGACTTATTAAACGTAGTCAGCCAGCCTTACTCGACTCCCAGTTTGCAGGATCTAACATTCAAGCCCGCATTCTTTTGTAGTCAAGCGTAATCAAGTCCAACACTTTAACCATTGAGCCCTGGGCTGGTTATTCTGTCGGTTGGGATCAGAAATATTAACTTGAGTTGGAAGTGCGTTAACCGACCGAGTTAAAGGACATGCTCATTCTATTGCGTTTTGGGAATTAATCTAGTTCCACCTTTATTCCCTCTGCTCTTGTCAGTACTCCTCATTCTGCCAGTCACTACGGGGCTGCCCGCGAAGTCTCGAACTCGAGCCCCACTAAGACGATTATGTCCGGTAACCTGATTGGTGAACGCATTTCCACCACACTGTATGTTTTCTAGAAAGCCCGAATGAATTCAAACGATCACCACGACATCTCGGTAGTCGTTGTCGACGATGACCACCGTGTGCTCCACAACGGCTTGAAAGCAGGGACGGTGACTTTCAGCCTCTCTTCCCCCCACCTGAACCCGGTGTCATGACCAAGTCATGAAGACCGGATGTGGGAGAGCGAGCAGGTGGCCCTGCACGGCCGAAGCCGCCCATAGGCGTGCCGCCACACCCGGCTCGGATCCCACGGAGTGGGAGCGCCATAGAGGCCACATTAAGAAGGAGCCATCGCAGCCTGACTCTTAGACCACCAATCGGTCGCTCCACATAAACACAGACAAAACTGAGCCGACTGCGAGGTCCGAGTTATCCCTTCAGTTAGCCGGCTTCCGAACCAAGCTCTTTTAGCGCGCCGTGATAGCTTCAAGCGTATTTGATTGTTTGTATCAAGGAAAATGCGCTGAGACATCGACCTCACTCTCTGATCCTATTCCCAGCCCTCTGCCACTGTCCTAGCCCGTCAGTTATTTGGTGGGAGGAATGGGCGATCATCACAGTGCGTGAACAACACAAGCTACTTTAGTAGTTTTTTTCTGAAAATCATCTTCCCTAAGTCTTTGGAACCATGTTTAATAGAAATCAGCCTGCTGGGAGTATCAAGTATCCTTGAAATATATCCCACGCTAATTTGTTTGCAAACTTCATTCAAGTAATCGTCTATGTAAAAGCATCTCGAAGAATGTATGTTTTTGGACATCGGTAAATACCAGATTGTGGGTCCTGTATGTACAATCTATACATAGCCCATTCGCAGGTTAACTTATAAGGAACAGACAGACTCCGGTCTTGCGAGTTTTGAAGAATAATATAGGTCGCCAGTGCAAGCAGAGGAGCGAGTCGCGGGAATTAATTTGGATGATGATGATGATGATGATGATGATGATGATGATGATGATGATGATGATGATGATGATGATGATGAAATCGCAGGGTCAAGAATTCTGCCTGCAGGTGTTCCCGGTGATGTACGAGAATCTGAAACGTCGAGCGAGTAAAATCCATGTCGCCGCGACCATATCACATTTCTATTTTCAACCGAGACAAGTTGTAACGTCGGTTGTCAGTTTATTGCTGGGAGACAAGACGTACCGGAGAACGCTATGTAACAAGGAAGTGCTTGTCATGAGATCGACTCCCGCGAAGTCGCGCAATACAGCATCTGAGTTCAAAATGAAATATGCGCTATTAACTATTTTCTCTTTTATAGTAGTCGAAACACTTAAGGTTCGTATGTTTCTTGAGTTCAAAACACTGGCTTTCATGCAGTCCTTTTCATGCCTCCATGTTAAAAGTAACAATAGTTTTTACATAGTATTAACTACCATATTATTGTTTTGGAAATAACAGAACTGGGAGAACGAAAGTGACGAGGATTGCAGTCGGAGGCAAAAAAATCCTCAGAAGTTACTGCATGTATCTCTGAACGGTGGTTATTCGCCGTGTTCTAACTGTTAATAATTGCATTGACGGGCGAACGCGCTCTGCGCCTTCATTTCGTAAGGCACTGGTCAACATGCGGTTTGGCAACATTTGTATCTATCGCAGTTCTCTATTTTAACAAAAAATTACATGAGATTGGGACAGTTGTTCCAAAGAAGTTTGCTACTAACAGCGCTCGGATTCTCTTTATTTGCAGTCAGCATGCTGCCTGGAATGACTTCTGAATCGCCATTAGTTGAACTTGAACTTTGCTCCTTCGTCCGTATAATTTCATAAACCCAGGGACACTAATGTGTCTTGCAATGAACTGCAGAAATACCAGCCATTGTTTTTGTATCAGCGTCTCGGTTTGGACAAATATGTTTCCGAAAGTAAGGAGAAAACGCTTACTCTTGACTACCACTTAAAGTTGATGCAGCGGTGTTTGAGTAAATAATAGACAGCAAAGATAGAGCTGGTCACCTTTGAATGAGTGAGGATCGCAAAATTGCGGCGTGGCCTTTCGAGCATACGCGAAAATATTTCTGCGCTTCCAGGTTTTTAGTTGTTCAATAGGAAAAGAAACTGTTGGTCACTTTTTGGCAAGGGCTGTAATTTTTCCTCCAACCATTTGGATGCCAAATGAACTTTCTTAAATATCAACGGGAGTTTACTGCAAGTAAATAAGCTAAATGCCAACGAAGAAATCAATGAATGTTTTGAACTGAATAAAAATCATTCGACTTTGCAACATGATCACTGTACATCTACAAAAGCCTTTAAAGTGGGACTGATATTCATCTGTTTCTAGCTGCCTTGAATCCTTTCTGGAAGTCACATGAAATTCGACGTACTTGATCTTTTGTTGATTAAAGTCACAACCGTTTAGGTTAAAATAAAATCCCTTCTAGACCCGCCATTCGTATTTTTCTCCGAGTTCCCAGAACTCCTTTACGATTCCAAACTGATCAGTTTTTACCGGTGACAAACGGATAAGACCGCGATTAAATGTGGAAGGATTGTTGTTGTAAGGAGTGTTACGATCAACATATGACGCGTTATGCGGGCCAACATACATAGTATCGTCAAAAAAGCTAAAAGCGCCTTGACCATAAGCCACGATAATAGGCCAAGTATTTAGACGCAAAATGTAATGGGAAAACGGGAGTTTAGCCCTCATTTTTATCCGTTCGATGAATCCTTTTCCGAATGCATGGATACCGATCCACCGTATTCAGTGAGTAATACAAGCTCCTGGAAGTACAGACCTTACATCTTCATGCAACTCCCACTGTGTTGCGGTCGTAAGAGTCAGTTAAAACGACTGGAGGGAGACATGGGCGCAGTGCCTGACCAGACATCCAGTTCTTCCCTCCTGCATATCCCATGTGCACTGATTCCTCATCTGTCCGTCAGCGGTGCTTTATAGGCTTCTGAGCCAAACGGTCTGAAATCGTCTGCTATGCCAGGATCAGCAAGCCATGGTCCTCGCAGCCTGGTATGTGATGGCAGTTTTCCGAAATCTGGCTCCCCGCCGATGGATGCCCTCGCGATCCCGCTGGGTATACAGGCTGTGAGCATTGTTGTCCACCCATCCACGTCCTTCTGAACCGCTGCCGCGTTCTTGTTGATTGAAATCCTGGTCAGGTGTTTGTTGTGCACCCGGATGGGTGTGAGATGGAGCGCAAAGGTGCGGACTCGGCCGCGCTATCCACCTGCGCCCTTCCCCGTTCCCCGTCTTCCGGACTGGGTCTTGACACCGGCTTCAGGTGGGGGAGGAAGAGAGAGTGCGCTAGGTGTGGGGCAAGTGACTGTGCCGGCTTCACATTTCTGTGGAGCATACGGTGGACATCGGTGGATGCGACGGTCGAATTGTCACGAGCTACGTTAACAAGCAGCACGGTATTTAAGCTCTCGGTCTCGAAAGTTCGTTTATCGCGCTTGTTTGAGGCCTTCTGAGTCATGGCAGTTGAGGCGCCGCCCAAAATATTGTCACTTATGGTGGATTTAATTCGCTATTCATGTGATTACAGAGTATTTCTTGCAAGAACGGACCAAATCGCTCAGATAAAATGTAGCAAATAATCAATTAGCCGCCCCGATCCGCCCCTGTCACACAAAGGTGATGATTCTCAAAATGTAATGAACAAGACTTCATCCGGATGGTAGGTCGAGTGAGAATCAAGACACCAGGGCATATATTTTCCAAAAGGTGTATAGGGAGATGAAGTGGCCCGTTGTAAAATTTGGCTTTGAGGCGCTTTGAGACTTTTCAAATCGATTGTTTGAGAGATGGAAAGCCGAGTGAAATTATCAAAGATGATCGACTTTAGTGTGAAATACATCAGTCGAAACCGCGGACAATATAGATAAACAATAAGGCTTGTCCGTAACGCACAACGCTTACAATGCGGCTTTGAAAAGGGGATAAACTCCCTTTTCAATCCGTGAGGCAATCTGAATAGGTTATTAGGAATGTCGCTTTCAGTTATTTTGAAACATGAATTTTCAGGCCGCGTACCACGCACAGTATGACAAATAAACTGGTTTCATACAAAATCCCAAGTAAAAAGGTGGTAACGAGTGGCAATGAATGTCATGGTCAAAGTCATTCCGTTGTGTCTCAAAAACCACTCCGCTGGTGGAAAACCTGAAAACCACCAGTCAGGTGACATGCGAGTCAACCAGAAGAATCAGTGGGCTCGTAACTAAAAGGACTAATTTTTTGTCTTCATCTGTCTGGTGTACCTACAATTCAAGTCATTAAACGATGCTTGTATATGCGAAAAATGATACCTTCTAGGTAAAAGGGAGTAATTCACTTTGACCCAACTGTGAAAAACTCGATGCCTCGGTGGGAGTCGAAGCCACGACAGCAAGGGAGGCTTTTATGCAGCCAACGCTCTAACCATCTGAGCTAAGAGGCCCCGCCGGACGATGCAAGTTCGATCAAATTTGGGTCGAATCCCACCAAGGCACCGAATTTTTCACAGTTGCCTCAAAGTGAATTATTTGAAATCTACCAAAACACCTATGAAGTACGTCAGCCTAGTAGTCGTCTGGTGGATTTTAGATTTATTACGTAGAAAATCCTGCTTGGGCAGTCAGCCTATTGTATTAGATCTGATGGTACCAAACGTTGCAGTAAGCTGGGTGGGTAAACTTGACCCAAATGTGATTAAACTCGCGTCGTCCGGTGGGGCCTAGTAGCCCAGATACTTAGAGCGTTGGCTGCACTAAAGCCCGCCTTTGCTGTCGTGGCCCCGAATCCCATCGGGGCACCGAGATTTTCATAGTTGGGTCAAATTGAATTATTTGAAATCTGCCATAACACCTATAAAAGGGAATAGTTAAGAAATTGTGAGGTACTAACCCCTTAAATCGGTTAAGTAAAACTGGCTTTGTCCACTTCAGGCGTTTTTTAATAGTTTGCCGGAGGCCAGAATCTGGCAGCAGTTTAACTCAGGCATATTTCATATACTGACTCGGAAGAAGTAACATAAAGTGCCCGTAATTCTTCTGAATTGTTTCACTCCTGAACTTCGTAGCGTAGATTTTATGACCAACAAAGTATGGTCTGAGGCAAAAAAGCCGACGTCAGGAGGTTGGTGCCGTGATTGACAAGGCCGAATGTCCCATTTACGCGTGCCACATACAGACTCCCAGGTTTTATAGGGGAAGATATCCAGAATTTAAAACGAATAAGAACGTCGTAAAGTCCATATGCGGACAAAGCCATTCCACCATAGTCCTCAGTCCTGGGCAGGACCTAGTTATCTCGCCAACAAGCAAAAATAAAAGTCATAACTGCCGTATTCACCACACTTCCACTTCTGTCTCCGAACTTTGGCGCAGTGGTTTTCGGAGCGAAAAGCGGCATCTAACACATGTCACAAAAATTCTCGCGTTTTTTCGTTTGTTGACCGCCGTTTCAGATAATGCTTTTTAATAGTCGGTCGGCTGAGTATGTCTTTCACGTAAGACAATTAAAAAGTGGTGCTTACAGTAAAATTCTTGGCGAATAAATAGCTGTTCTAGAAGATTTGATAATATATTCGGGGTAATTATGAAGAACTAGAGGCTTTGGCGGGCTTCTAATCCGTGACAACAAAGTCAAGGTTTGAACACAGCCAAGATTTTAACCACCAGAGCTACGAAGACTGGTAGTCACCAAGTGGATTATAACTTGCCTTTTCCGTTTACTGTACCAGAATTGGTGGATTTCATACACTGTGGTGGTCTGATCGGATAACTTGGCCAAATTCTGAGTAGACTGACATCTCCCAGTGAGGTCTCGTGGCTCGGGCGGTTAGAGCTTTGGCTATACTTAAGTCTACTCCTTGCTGTCGTGGCTTCTAATTTCATCGAGGCTGCTTAATTTTTGAAAGGGTGCTCAGAGACCTTTTTGAACACCATGAAAGTAATTCTTGCGAGCTCTCTTTACTAATTTCAGCGTTTTAAAATAGGAATTTACCAGAGCAAATTATGGGAACCAGCATAAAAAGGCTTATCAGAATTTCCACAAGTAAATGTTTGTACGTTTGATTTATCGGAACCGTGATTCCACATAGCGCAAGTTCTATATTCTGCAGGGGACTGTGCGAAGGTGATGGTTCCCAAATTAAAACCTTTACCATCGGTCTGCTCAGCGAATTGCTCGGTTACCAAAAGTTACGAAGGGGTAACTTAACAAACCACTCTTTTTAAATTGACGCTCGGGAAGACGGTATGTTTTGTAAAACGTTATATTACTTGAGATCATGTTTTACGTGAATCGTAAACTTTTGCCTCTTTCTAGCACTTCTTACGTAGTGACAGGCTTCCAGGATGTTGGTACTAAATTACTGGTCTGGTAAACTGTCATACGGACGGTGGGCAGAACGTTCTAGCATAAAAGCAACATCTTGGAAAACCAAGACCCGATTCCAGTGACGAAAAAATCATTTTTCTCATCTAGTTATCCACATAAGAATCCTTCAAAAAGGAATACAAAATTTTTCAGCATAAATTTACGAACTTCACTTAAAGCTTCCCTGATCTTAATTAGGGCTCCTGATTTTTGGACCTTTGCAGAACAAAAACAACTCAATTTTAAATCTATTCGAAAATTCCCTTGAAGGCAAACGAGTTCCCTGTACTTCTAATATTTTTTCTTACTTTTGCACCATAGCCAATCGACGAACCTATCTGCGATACGCTTGTTGCTCTATAGAAAGTTACTGTCTAGCCCACCTTACAAGACATTTCTTAGAAAAGTTAAAATCAAGATAGACCTGCAATCATATGCGTGCTAAAAACCAGTAGAGCCTTGTATCTTTCGTCGAAACCTTAAATTCTTTGATAAATAATAAGCAAATAACAGGCGTGGGGTGCTTACTTGTAAGTTCTACGTATAGCTACTTGTGATTCTAACGTAGATGACAGGCAAAATGACATTGAGTCTTTGACCTACTTATTATCAAGAATCTGTGCTCGAGCAAATTGATTTTTGTTTCTCGATTTCTCCCCAGGGAAGATTGAGAGGACTGTGTGCTAAAGTCGAAAGCAAATGATTTGGATCTACTCCTGTCATCAGGCGAAAATATCATGTGGTAAGTGAAGATCGAGCACTACAGTATCGTTAAAATGCATTGGAATGGCAATCCAGGGGGGCGAAGACAAAGTGACTTCTAGTTGTCCAAGGCTATGTTTTTCAAACTGAAATTCTGAGTATTGAAAGTGCCCTCGTGGCACTACGTTCTGGATGAAAAGAACAAAAGGACGGATATAAACCTATCGGCGTAACCCGCCAAGAATTTGCTAGCTCTCGGGAAATGAAGTAAGCGGGGTCATTGCGCAAAATTCAGTTCTGCAGAGAGGTCGAAGCGAATGTGGTATACAAGTGTTACATGAAAGCCTCACGCAGAAACAATATATCGATATCATGGTAAATGAGTTTGCATTTGCTTGCCATACACGTTGTGTATCTGAGAAAAAAATAAATTTTACTATGGTTTCTGTGAACAGTTAACTGCATCAGACACGGAAACCAACCTACTGTGGCCGCCTTACTAAAAAATTTGACAAATTGAAGCGGACGTTCAAAAACGGCTTAAGATGGGACTTAAAAACATCAAGATAAAATATGCTGGGAGTTTTACACACATGGCATAGATATCAAGCCTTGACAGGAGGCAAGTCAAGACTTTCTTAGAGCTGACGGTGACAGTATTAAGCAGGTGAGCCTCAAACAAAAAATTGCCGCCTCAGGAGATTTGGACCAATTAAGTTTGAGCACAAAAAATGTAAACAAATATACTCCTTCCAAGGCATTGTTCTATTTGCTGGCCACTTGTTCTTTACGTTAACAGTTCAAAATTTTAAAATTTAGGTATTTCAAAAGTGGCCTTCAAAGTACTGGAAAAACATAGCGTCAGGTACTGATCCAGTTGCAAATAAAACATGAGGAAATAGTTACTTTTAAATCCAGATGTACTATTCCGAGCTGATGGAGATGCTCAACCCCGCGCAGTATTTGAGTAACAAAGAAGGAAGCTTCTTCTTCCGGAAGCTTTTCTAGCTCGGCGACTCGAGCGAAAAGCTCCCCGCCAGCCACACTTTCAAGAGAAAAAAGTACGCACATATTCAGGCACTAAATCTAAAAAATTATCAAATGGTAAGTTTAGAAGAAAAGGCATTCTAACTTTCCAATTTACAGCACTAGTGCTCTCGGACGTGGTACTCAGCTAGCTGCTTGGAACGAATACTGTTGTGGCTTTTTTCCACGATCATGCTAGACCACAAAAAACTGTTCAAGTAGAGTCCTGCAATGCAGTCTTCAAAAACTACTTAGAGGGCCTCATAGACATGATTAAAATTTAAAAGGCGCTCTGTAAACCACTGTGCGGACAAAAGCGTTTGGAGAAGCAAGACACGTTCTAAAAACCTGATCAAAGTAAATGTCAGTGGGAGACGGATGCATAAGATGGGACTCAACCACTAACAAAATCTAAATGCGAATATTTAAAACTATGAAGAGAGGAATGATCGACAAAGTTACAACTGAGAACGCAGATAGTTGTTCGAAATTTGATTTATAAGTAGATATTTAATTGTAAGTATTTTACAGAATATTCAACCACCGTCGCGAAGACGGTTTGGGTTTCTAACTCAAACGAGAAATCGGCAAAGTTTGTCTTTATAATACCAGAAACAGCAAAATCACGTTCGTGCAAATTCCGATCTAAATCTTTTTTCATAAGTTTTGTACAAATTAACCAACATCAATCATGCATACTCACAGCTCAAGTAAAAGCACAAAATTCATATCCTCTTCGTAGAATCCATGCAATTTTACGATATTTTGATGGTTGATTGAACGAAGAATATTGACTTCTCTTTCAATTTCTTGTTTCGTCATACCACGCGACGCTGGATCGTAGTGACCAAACACAGTTTTCTGTTTTTTCTGAATAATTTTTGCTGCGTACTTCTTCTTTGTTGTGTTGCAGGTGCAAACTTTCACTTCGGCGAAGTTACCACTATAGATTAAAACACTTGAGGCAGTCTTACTCTCCAATTTTCTCTCCCAGCTCAAAAAGCGAATCAAAGGATTCCATCACAGGGGGACGTATTGAGTTTTCGGGAAAAATCCGTGTGGATAGAAATCGCCGTCAAGGACGTCCATGTCTGAACATCCCGCCTTGCGCCAAATGTAAACGCGACCTACAGAATTGCGATTAACCTGGAAGTTTAAAACAAATAAAAATAGTACGTAGTTTTAACTCTCTAAGTTAATTTTCTGCCCTTTCTAGCAAATTGCAGTCCGCATATTTAAAAATTAAGCGTAATCTATATTTTTAGGGTTAGAACGTCTTACACGAAAAATGGGCTTCTCTATTAGACTAAGGCGGGCAAGTGATATGTAACTTCTTTTTTGAAATAAATCAATGCATCTCTGTGATGGTTGGCGCATGTATATCTCTAGGTTTTAATGTAACCATAAGGTTTGTTCATTCGCGTTTATTAAAAAAGGAACTACTAACTCCACGATTTAACTGTGGTCCACGAGGCTCCAAAGCGTGTTTGACGGACTATGTGGATATTGGGTGGTTATGGATAAAATATGACTGTATAAAGTGACTACTGTCACATCAGTAGCCTGCGCTTTTGTATGTCGAACTGCCCACGGAAAAAGTAGAAGCATATATTATTTTTTTCTGTCGTGCTTGGACGGCCTGGCAACGAATACAACAGAAGATCTTTCAGTGTTAATAAATCGAGAAGCAACACTCAAAAATAGTTAACAGAGTTCAGGTTTTCTACAGTCCTGTTATCATTTCAGGCAGTATTTTAGCCTCATATTTTTATGCGGCTGAATCAGGATATATTTTGGTCGGCATATGCACGTCCTTGTAACCTTTCGCAAAATGTGAAATTTGAATAATATGTGAATTCCCCAGAGGCAGCAAGTTAAGGGAAATGACTCTGATTCTCACTTCTCACCTATGCCTACATCTTTGGAATTTTACGTATATGTATCACGTTTACCCTGCTTTTATACTTATTATATATCAAGTGTTCAAACGCGGCGATCCTAGGTTTATCTACTGGAAGGTGGATAGTGTGAACATCTCACTCCCTCCGATAGGTGGTATATTTTCGATCAAACTAAGGCGTTTTTGCTTTAAACCGAGTCCTCCCTAGACAGTGAATGGTAGGGAAGAGTTCACGAAACCACTTTTGTAAATAGTATAGTACATGCGGCTGAGTATTACGCATTAAGTTTGAAATAATCGTCCGCTGGATAAGGGAGTCGCCTTTAAAAGTGAAATATTCCATCCCCTGTTTGATATTCAACAGTTAACTTCTTTTCCCTCGGCTTCGTGGCGGTAAAAACTAGTCTTCAAATATCACCATCATCTGGCAGTCGCACATGTATTTACATTGGTTTTAAGTCTTCGCATATTGCACTCGTGACTGAGCAGAATACAGGTTATTTCGTTCCCCTCGACTAAATTCTGCTTGTGAAATACTTGTCACCCGGTTTCAAATCTAATCATACATAAATGTGTACTTTGCATGATCCTTATAACTTCGCCGCAATTGAACTTTCTACTTTTAAGTTTCGAATGCCGGTAGTACAACGATTTCCCAACAGAACCTTACGCATTATACAACCCTCGTTGTGTCGAACAAATTTAAATCGTGATTCATGGAGGAGTCCACCCGGAAATTTGGCAGCAAGGTTAATTACAGTAGAGTCATTTGCTGGCCTACAGAATGCCTGAAAAATAAATGTATGGACAAATAAATAGAATAGATCAGAGGACTGGCAACTACTGTCAACAAAACTGAACTATCTTCTGCATGATTGGGATTGTGTCACATTCGAGTCACTGTTGACTTGAAGATGATGTAGAATACGCAAAGGCAACTCACTCCACCCTTGCCAACATCACTATTTATTTTCGCCCATTTACAACTTGAGGAGGCATAAAGTCGTAGAAATCGAATACACATTCACGTCAACAGTATGTGCTAGGTAAAACCCAAATTTGCATTAGTAAGCAGTACACTTGTTAATTACGGCAGTAATCAGTTGTCATGAATGGCACCAGTTTGTTGGCTGTGGATTGTTAACTAATGCTGCGATTTAGAAGTACGTCACATCTTATTCTACCCTCAGGACAAACTTACTTGCTTCTCCATGTCCACTCACGAAAAAGTCCCTCCTGTCAACTATTTCACATGAAAGTACAGGTTGTCTAAACTCCCTCGCGCTTGTTGTCCAGTTACTTCTTTTACTCATTCGTCCAGAGCTCGTCCTTCTTACTGAGAAACCTTTAACTTGGAAGTTGTGGATACTAGTATCTCAAGCGGTCTGAATAAGAGATAGATCTGCGGTGGACACTGAAGCTTTTCCTACTTTTTATGGCTAAATTCCCTAACTTCATTCTGCCATCGGTTGGGAATTTAAGGCACTGAGTCAATGATATGGTGTGTAGTTTGCATTTAAATCTGAGTCCGCTTCGCTCTCTGATAATTAAATATCAAAACCATTGATCGAATGTTACAACAAATGTGGACTCAAGGGGGTTTACCTTGTTTCATTCGTTAGTTCGATGCACGGACGGCAAATGGGCATTCAGAATGTGTTAATTCGTCAATACAATAAACATAGCGAGTGACATTATGCAGTATGGCCTTCTGAATGTTCGTTTTTAAAGGCATTCATAGGTTGATTCAGTGTACCTTTCCTTCTTTAAAACGGCATGAAGTAGGCGGTTTATCAACTCTGCGTTCTCATTCATACCAGCAAAGGCGCCAGGTCAACGCGCGCAGCAGGATTTTGAAAATATTAGTGAAAGTTATATTTTTGAATTCGATTTCTTAATCTGTTGCACAGTTTTCCGGTGTAGATCTGACAAAATTTCCTATTTTCGTCAAAAGTAATCCTAGCTTCCCGTCGTATTTTGTCGATGTATCATAAAGCGGAAATATAGTGTCATAGATTTTCACTCAACAAAGCCAAAACCTATTAAGGTTTACTCGCTTATAAAATAGAATTTCCACCGCTGTCCCATACTTTCTTAAAAATAGACTTAAAAAGCTAGGGAAGCATTTGAAAGGTCCTTCTGTGAGATCGTTATCAGTTCATCTTTAAACCGTCGAAACAGTTGAATTAGCTTCGAAAATGAGACTTGCGCGAGACAGCCGTGCACAGTGCTTAGCTAATAATGACGTGAATGCTGCTGAATCCGTTGCTCTGATTCTATCTGGATTAATTGCCGAAGCGGTTTTGCAGAGGCATGAGCGGCTGGTCTTCAGCTCATACCCCCCAAAATTCTGGGTCAGATACGTCGACGACACTTTCGTTATCATCAAAAGGAGCGATGTGCAGACTTTCAAGGCACTGTTGAATTCAATCTTTCCCGACCTACAGTTTACTGTGGAAGAAAAGCTCAACAATCAGCTGGCCTTCCTTGACGTACAAGTGAGAAAGTAGGAAAACGGGAAGATAAGGACAACGGTCTACCGCAAGGCAACTAATATCAGGTGAATCCTCCACTTCAAGTGCAACTACCCCGTTGGTCACAAACGCAGTTGTGTCAGGACCCTCCTCGAACGCGTTCAAACACACTGCAGCGACGAAAATAGGAGGAAGGAGGAGATTAAATACTTGCAAGCCCTATTTAAAGCCAACGGTTATCCCAAGTCCTTCCTACGCAAGTGTCTTAAGAAGCCCCACCTTGAGCGGTCGGACGGAGAAAACCCGAAATTTTGGCACGCAATCCCTTATGTGAAAAACGTGTCAGAGGCGACGGCAACAATCATGAAGCCTTTCGGGATCGGAGTGGCTCACAAGCCAGCGTCAACAATCGGACAGCAAATAACGGGGCCCGAAGACCCTCTACCGTTGACAGAACAATCATCGGTGGTCTACAGCATACCATGCCAAAACTGTGATGTAAGGTATGTTGGTGAAACGGGCAAACGTCTTGGCACAAGATTGCATTAGCACCAGCTTGCAATCAACCGCAAGGACAAGCTGTCTATGGTTTATGGTCACGTCAAAAAGCAGAACCACAATTTCGCCTTTGAAAAGGCAAGGGTAATCGGCCGAGAGAATGATAAGATGGCCAGACTGATGCTCCAAAGTTGGTACTCAACTGGCAGACTCAACAGAGCCATAGATCTGCACTCCGCCTATCAGGGGCTACGCACAAGTGTGGACAAAGCCATCAGGACAGTTGAGCAGAGTGACACGTGGCCAACATCCGATGTCAGCAGAAAGTGGAAGAGAAGCCGGCCGGGGGTCATGTGACCAGCATGGGACTCCACCTCACCGCGACGCCTTCGATGCTGAGATCAACTCACATGAGCCCCGACAACTGATCAGTCCGGTGAGTGACGAGGTGGAGGCTGACAAGCATGCTGGCTCGCCAACAATTACGACGGCCGCAAAGGGGTCATTAGTGGCAGGAGCCCATCGGCGGTCAATCGTGGAGAGGTCAACGCTAATCGGCGGCGAACGGGCAGGTCAGAGTTTGTGCCTCGCGCACGGATATAATACCAGGAATGTATCAAGGCTGACGCAATCAAGACTAGCAGGAACGGTCAACACATTACTCTGATGATGGAAACGAAAGGGTTTCCGAAACGACAGAACAAATATTACTCGGTCCATGAATGCGCCCTATCTTCTTCTTCGTCTTCTTCGGGGAATGATGAACGCGATACAATATCTGGACCTCGAATCTTTATCCATATCGATGTATATATATTTGCAGGGTTAGAGGCAGAGCCCTTGATGACCCTATTTATATACAGTGCTTTCGCAGATTCGTACTAAAAATTAAATTGCTGGCATTTACCATGTGATCGGGTCACATTTCAATCGTAATCATAAGGTTGTGC